CAAGGTCTACCGGGAGCGAAACGGCGAGACTGCAAGCATCCGTGGTTTTCTTTTGTCTTGGCATCGCTCGGACGTGTGCATCTTTTCTCGGCGAGGGCCATCGAGGAAATCCTTGATCATTTGGCGAAAAAGCCACGCACGAAACCGAAACAAGCACAGGGAATGGACGTCCGAGCGATGGCCAGTTGTAGGTCCTGAAGGATTCGGGCTTCTCGGGGGTGTCCTTGGGAGGCTCCGTTGCCACATGGAGCTGTCTTGGGGCGGCTGTGGGGCCCCGTTGGGGCATCCTGGAAGCATAATTGATCCGTCCATGGTTATCTCGAACCGTCCTGGAGACAGTAATTAGTATTAGTGCAGGTCGTTGTCATCATCGACCATTCTGGCGCATTTCCATCTCAACTCGTTCCCTCAGCCAGATCGGGCTCACGTCCGGGGGGTGTCAGAATGAGCGTGAAGTGGTGACCGGGTCACGTCGAGTAGAGATGAATGTAATGATGAGGAGGGTGGTGCGGTAGAGACAGGAGGGAGAAGGCAAACGGCATGGTCACGTGAGGGGTGGAGCGGGAATAGGGATGAAGGAGGTCTCTTCGACGAAATCCCGAACGCGCGCCTAAACATGCGGAGGAGGAACCATGAGCAAAGAGCAGAAGGGATCAACCAGGAGAGCAGGGTGAGAGACGATGGTGACAAACACGGGAATCCATAGAGAGAATATGGCAGGATAAAACCAAGGATTTGGGCAGGGATGATGTAGTTCCGTATTATTAGGAAGCAGATAAATGGAGCGAGGATTGAACATCAGGGACAAGCAAGAAATATTGTAATATAAGGCGGACGACTCAAAGCGATATTCTGGATGACGCAGTAGGGCAAGAGTTGGACTTACTCGGTCTCATTACCACGCGCAGTTAGCATAGGCAAGCGTTACTTTCACGAGGCATCGAACATGAATATACTGCCGCGACAACGTCCTGCCTTGCGCTAGAACCTAAGCGTGCGCGACGCGCGCGTGATTCTAGTTAGTGCGTGCGTATATATTATGTATGTATACATACATGCATATAGTTGTATAGATGTATATGTATATGTGGGCAGCCCCCCTCCCAGCACCCAGACATTTTGAATCGGTCGTTGAACGGTTCATGCTGTCTCTCTATTTATTAATGTATTTCTCTCTCTCTCTCACCACCTCTCTCTGTCTCTTGTTCGCTCTGCCCCTCCTCCTCCTCCAGCTCGTCGTCGTCCTCCTCCTCCTTCTCCTCGCCGTCCTCATATTCTGAACCGCGCAGGGGAGAGAGAGAGAGAGAGAGGCGGGAAAGAAAGAGAGAGAGAGAGAGAGAGAAGGAGAGAGGGAGATAGAGACAGAGAGAGAGAGAGACTGGAGGGAGCACCGGTCCCTGTGGAATCACAGGGTTAGCGACGGCAGGGGTCGCCAAATCTTGCCTTCTCATTTGGATTGTTTGGCGTCCTGGGATGAGGTCCAAGGAAACCGTGTGCTTGCAGTTGGATGTTGGGATGCCCCTCTCCAGAAAAAAAAAACACGATCCAGGAGCCTCCGAAGCCTCAGGACCTTGGGAATCCCAGGCGTCCAAACGTCCCAATGCCAATGCAGGGCTTCCTCGATTCCGATCCCACACAAATCCCAACCATCGCACCGAAAACCTGGGGTCTGGCGACCTCCGGCGTCGATAGAAACCCATGTTAGAACATGTTGATTGTTTCTCCTATGGGGCCCCTCTCTCCTGTGCATGCGCCGCGATGCCGCCTCGCCGCAGGCTTTTTGTCTTGAAAGCCTGAGGTCAAGGGGAAACCTCAGGTGCAGGCGCGTCGCCTGCCGCGGGCGCGGCGGCTCGGCCATGTGATGGCGGCGGCCGCCGCGAGCGGCGCCGCTGGCGGCTTCGCTGCGCTGCCCGCGGGCGCAGCTGCCGCGCTGCCCGCGCCCCCAGGAGGCCGCGGAGGCAACCGCGGTCGCGGCGGTCGCGGAGACGGGCGAGGGGCTGCAGGAGCCCGTGGAGGACGCGCGGCTGTTGCACCACGCGGGGCTGCGGGCGGCAGGCGAGCGCGTGCGGCCGCGGCTGCTGCAGGCGCTCGAGGTCGCGGAGGCGTCGCGGCTCGGCCCCGCGGAGGTGGCCGTGGTGCAGCCGCCGCAGCTGCAGCGGACGGTGCCGTCGGAGGAGCCGCGGCAGCTCCTGTCGCAGATGGCCCACCAGGTGGAGGAGCCGCTGGCGCGGACGTGCAGGCTGGAGGTGTTCCTGGAGTACTGGCAGGTGGCTGCGGTGGACTGCCCGCGGGAGTCGGAGCGGTTGCAGGCGTTGCGGCGGCTGGAGGCGGAGGTCCGCCTGGGATGGCTGGCGCTGCCGGTGGAGGAGGCCCGCTGGGCGGGCTCGTGCCTCCCCCTCTCGCGGGTGGTGCGGCCGCTGTGATCGGTGGAGCTGGAGGCGTAGCAGGACCTCCCGCTGGAGCTGTCCCTGGACTGGGAGGGGGTGCTCTCGGAGTCGGAGGCCACGGCGGCGCTGGTGCTTGGGCCCCGGGTGCTGGCGGCGTTCTCGGCGGTGCAGCTGGAGGCGTACCCGCAGGTGCAGGAGCAACCCCAGGTGCTGGTGGCCTGCTGGGCTGGGTGCCTGCTGCTGGTGGTGGAGTCGGGGCTCCAGGAGGCTGTGGTTTCGACCTAGCGGCACCACCATGAGGAGCAGGACCCTGGGTGCACGGCCCATCATCACCGATGGCCTACCAGCGGCTCGGGCTGTCACCAGGAGGATTGCTGGAGTGCGTGACCCTGGACAGCTTCGGCAGCGCAGTCGGCACGGCGCTGTTCAACATCCAGAGCGTGTGGCCTGGCGACGGCATGGGTGTCTTCGTGGAGGCGTCCTTCCTGGGGTGCAGTAGTGCCGCCTTGTGGCCGATGTTGTCGGGGAGCTTCAATCACCTTGGTGGCGCGCTGTGTACCCAGCAGGCCAGCGTATGCTCAGGGCTGGTGCAGTGGCCTCAGCGCTCGGTGTTGCACGTGGAGACCTACCGCATGCGGAGCGCCACGGGAGTGACTGAGCCGTGGGCTCAGGCGCTGCTGGCCAGTCGCGGAGCCGCTGGGGGGCACGCAGCCGTTGGCATCCCTGGCGGACCCGTCGGAGGTGCTAGCTCGCCTGGAGCTACCGCTGGAGCTGCCGTGGCTGGCGCGGAACCCACCCCCGAGGAGCTGAAGAGGAAGGTAACCGAGTTGCGCCTACGCTTGCATCGCAAGCGTGGGATAGGTGAGGCCCTCGCTGAGCGCGCTGAGCTGGCTCTTGGCGGTCGTCGAGTGGGTCGTCGTGAGAGGAGGCGAGGACGACGCACTGGTGATGACAGCAGCTCCGAAGGCTCAGTTTTTGATGGCGCCCCCCACGTCGACCCAGGCCGCAGGATAGCTCATCTTGCCCAGGCCGCTCCAGGAGCTCTCCTGTCGAGCGGAATGGATCAGATCAAGCGCTATCTTGCGCGGCGTGGTGGGGCGGACGCCGAGAAGGGCCTGGACGAGCTGGCAGCGACGGTGGTGCAGTACATCACGAGCGTCTGGCACGGTCACCACCCGCAGAGCGAGATGGGGGTGAGAAATGTGCGCGAGATGCGGACCGTCGGCGAGTGTCTCGACGCACTGCTCAGAGGAGAGTTGGATCACCTGGGCGACCTCTTGACGCAGAGGCTGAAGGCGATCGAGCAGGCAACCAAGGACGGCCACTGGCAGGTAGCCCAGCATCTCGAGCTGCGCGACGACCTGGGCGTGGGATTAGCTCGCCAGGAGGAGGTGCACGACGCCGCGAGCAAGCACAAGAGGACGTTTGGCCTGGCCGAGAGCGCGGCGAAGGCCAAGAAGGGAGGTGGCGCAGGATAGGGGTCAGGCCGAGAGGGCAGCGGACAGCCTCGGGCGCCGCCCTCTCGGAGGCCATCTCCCGCCCCTGGCATCCTCTCTTCAAGCCCGACTGCCAACGAGCCCGGCAGCATGGTTGAGCGCGCGAAGGCATCGCGAAAGACGCGATGGAGGAAGGAGCGGAGGCAGGCTGCCGCCGCGAAGAAGCAGGCTGCAGCACCAGCAGCTCGCGGAGGAGAGCAGGCGCAGCAGTCGGCCAGCTCCGCAGCCCCGCATCCTCCTGCGCCTGGCGCCCCAGGGACACCAGCCGCCGCCGCGCGCGGCGCCGTCGGCCCTGGCCCCGATCGCCGACCGACCCTGCGCCCACCTGCTGGAAGGGAGACGCGGCCAGCGTCGCCAGTGAGGCGCGTGCATTTCGCCGATCAGGTCGAGCAACGCGGTCTGCAGCAGTCGCCCGCGCCGAGGAGCCGCCCAGGTTCACCTTCACCTCAGCGCAAGGGCGAGAAGGCGAAGACCACGAGCTCGGGCAAGCCGAAGTTCAAGAAGGGCAAGGGCGGCAGCAAGTCGGGCAGGTGGCAGGGCCCCGGCTCCAAGGGAAAGCCGAAGGGCAGGGGCAAAGGCAAGCAGCGCGCCTAGCTCCCACAGGCACGACGGTTGTTCCGTCTGAATCTGAGAAGAATGACATTCCACTCGATGATCAGGAGTCGGAGATCTCATCCCAGAGGTCATCTAGTTTTGACTCTTTGCATGGCGCGGAGCACACTGTCGATTGTGACACAAAGGATGTCTCCGAGAATTCATTTTCCTTGTCTTGTGCGCTGCCTGGTTCATCCGTTGAGGACCTCGGCACCATTCTGCTGTCTCGGCTACTTCCTGCGCTACACCCTGGCACTGAACGTAAGTCCGCATTACATCGTTCGAGGTCGCCTTCGCCTACCTTGGCTACCGCTACTTGTGGTTCCTGGGTCTGCCTCTGGGGCAGCTCACGGCGAGACAGGCGACTCTTCACACTTGGCTTCTTTACGTGCATCCACTGGTAATTCGGTCAATCAGTCATTTGGTAAAGCTGACGTTACTCCTGAGTGCGATGATGTCTCACACCCGGCTTCTTTACGCACTCCCTCGACGGCTTCGCTGATTTCCGAATATGATGCAGTTTATGGAGATCCGCTTCCATCACCGAACGGTCGGCGAGAGCGTCGTGATCTTCTCCCGCTCCCGATCGCGTTTCATGGTTTGGTTGCCCCCCAACGTCGCGGAGACATTCGTGAGGACAGTCAAGAGCTGGCAGTTGCGAAGTCTGAGGAGTTAGATTGGCTGCATTGTATCGTGTCAGGTCTCAACTTTCACTACACTCGCAGTTGGGTCCATGCGCCTCGCGGCCCTCCAAGCGCCACTCAGCGCAAGGCCCTCAATAATCTTCTCTATGAGGTCAGAGTCTTTCGTAAGCAGTGCGCTGACCTGATCCCTGACATCGATTGGGGCACCGACCTTCCTTCTGCCGCCACTTCCTACGACGGCGAGGAGGTGTTCCCTGCCGAGCTCCTGGACCGCGATCGTTTACTCGAAGCCCTGCCTCCTCGAGAGGCGTGCGCTGCCGCGAGGGCCGTCGATGCGACAGAGGGCTGGATCAGGGCTGCTCTCTCCGATCCAGGTCTGATCCTGAAGGACGAGTCGGAGCTTGGCAGCTTGCCCCCCCTCCGAAGGTCTGGGCCTCGAACGAGGAATGGGAGCTCATCGCTGGCGACCTACTCGAGAAGGGGGATTCTCAAGACGATTGAGTACGAGGACATCGTGGAAGTTCAAGGGCGCAAGGTGATGGGGCATGTTCGGCGAGAAGAAGGGATCCCACTTGAAGGGCGAGGGGCCCCAACGTCTGGCGATGAACATCATCCCCCCCAACTTCATCCAGAACATTATCGAGGGCGACATGCCGATGCTGCCCCGCAGCGACAAGTGGAAGAGCGTGATCCTCAGGTCTGGGGAGGTGATGCTCTGGGGCGCGGAGGATCTGAAGTGCTGCTTCTACGTGTATAGCCTCAGCGATGTGTGGCTGAAATACATGGCCATCTCAAAGCCCGTGAGGAGGTGCGTCGCTGGGCTGCCAGGCAAGGGCATGATATACCTGGCCGCCGCCGTCGTGCCCATGGGATGGATATCGGCCACAGGGGTGATTCAGCACATTCATCGTCGTCTTCTTCGAGCCCGCCATCCTGAGCTACGTCAACTCTCAGCGTCGGAGGAGCTGCGCAAGGACGCCACTATTCCTCCTGCTCGCCGAGATGGCTTTCACAACTCAGGAGTGGCTCCCGTCCGCGGCGAGGTCGGCCGCACGTATGATGACGACAAGCGGATGATCTACATCGGGCGCGGCTCCAGCTCACTGCAGCTTGCTCCATCGAAGTGGGGCAACCCGTTCCGCATTCGGGATGGCCTGGACAGGAGGCAGGTCATCGAGCCGTTCGCAGAGCACCTGGAGAAGTCGCCCGACCTTCTGGCCGACTTATCCTCTCTGAGTGGTGCTCGGCTGCTTTGCCACTGCAAGGAGCACCGGGCCTGCCACGGCGATGTTCTGACCGCGAAGTGGTTGGAGCGCTTCAACACGCCAGCCCTCTGGAGGGCCTGGCAGGTGTACATCGACAACTTGGATGTGCTGGAGATCACCGACTGGTGGCACGCCAAGTCCCTGCAGGAGGAGGGGATCAGCGAGGCGGTCGACATGGCCCGTCGGAGGTACGAGCACTTCAACGTGCCAAGAAGCGAGAACAAGGCCGTCATCCGCGAGACCACGACGCAGTCCCTCGGGGAGGCGATCGATGGGGATCGTGGCACCATCGGGCCGCCCGCAGAGTTCGTGCGACGGCTGATCTCCCTCACCCTGGCGACTCTGCAAAGGCCCACAGTGACTCAGAAGTGGATGCAGATCCTGGCGGGCCGTTGGGTTCGGTGCCTCCATTTCAGGCGCGAGGCGATGATGTGCTTCACTCACTTGTGGCGATTCTTGGTGAAGTTGCGTGGTGATGCGAAGGTGCCGCGTAAGGTGCGCGAGGAGCTGGTGTCGGCCTTAACGTTGCCCCCTTTGCTTCGCTGCGACCTGCGCGTGCCCATCAGCGGGCTGGTGACGGTCTCGGATGCCAGCATGCAGCGTGGAGCCGTGTGCCGAGCTGTTCGCATTCGGCCTGATGGAGTGGCCGCTGCGAGAGCGGCCAGCCGAAGGCTGGTGACTGACTTCCGCGGCGAGGTGGTGCCCCTGTCCTTGTTCGACGGCATTGGTGGGGCTCGCCGCGCCCTGGACCTGTTGGGGCTCACTCCCGCGCTGTTCGTGTCCGCCGAGATCGACGCCGAGGCGAAGCGAGTGACCAAGTATGCGTGGCCGGACGTGCTGGAAGTCGGCGACGTCTGCTTCTTTGGGTTCGCCGAGGCGGTGGCCATCCGTGAACGAGTTCCGCATATGAAGTGGATATTAGTGGTGGCCGGTAGCTCTTGCAGCGACCTGGCCCGCATCAATGTTGAGCGTACTGGTCTTCAAGGGAGACGCTCACGTCTATTCTACGAGATAAACCGCATTGTGTCTCTGCTGCGCGAGGCGCTGGGTGATTTCTGCACGGTGTTGTCCCTGGTTGAGAACGTGGCCTCAATGGATTCGGAATCGCGACAGTTGATGTCACATTCCCTGGGATGCGAACCTGCGTGCGTCTCAGCGGGTGATGTCACACACTGCCAGGGTGACCGTCTGCATTGGATCAAGGAGGAGCTGTTGACGCCGTGGCAGGGCGAGACGTATGTCATGGACTCGGTAAAGCACGTCATGATCCCTGACGGGCCTGGTCCAGTTGAACGCTGGCTGGCCGCTGGGCTTCAGTGGCAGGGTGACATCCAGAAGGACTTCCGCCTGCCCACCTTTCTGCGCTGTGTTCCTCGTCGTGCTCCAGGTCAATTCCCATCAGGTCTCGACAAATGTGCAAGTCGCGAACTTGAGCGTTGGCGCAGGTTCAACTACTGCTACGCGCCCTACCAGTTCCAGGACGTCAACTGCGTCGAGGATCCTGACGGCAGCCGAAGGCCCCCCTCGAGTGTCGAGAGAGAGCTGCTGCTCGACTTCCTTCCAGGGCACGCGATCACGGCACGAGTGACTAGAGCGCGCAAGCTCGAGAAAGCTGATCTGGAATGTTGCCGGTGCGCTCTGCTTGGGAACAGCTTTCAATGTGTGGTTGTCGCCTGGGTGCTGGCCCACTGGGCTCAGAGAGCAGGCTACCTGACCGAGATCCCCTCCGTCAGGCAGGTGCGTGAGACTGGAGGTGGCGCCACCGTCGCCGATGCCACAGTCAGCATGTACCAGATGGATTGCGACGACGGTATCTTGGTGCGCCAGCGCGATCTCGAGAGCGAGGATGCCGCGCTGGACCCCAGCATCATCATCGTGGAGGAGCTGGCCCGCCGTGCAGAGGCCAGAGGCAACGACATCAGGCTTGACACGTTCGGGGCGATGCGGCCTGATCTGTGGCCCAGGCGACCAGTCAGTGTGGCGCGCTGGTCGTGGAAGGCCACCGCCATCTGGGACTGGAAGCACCCGTCACACATCACGGACCTTGAGGTGAGAGCCATTCTGGGAGCCATGCGATGGCGCTTCAGATCCTCTCAACATTTACGCACCCGCTTTTGACATCTGATGGGTTCTCAAGCTGGTCTCGGAGTCATTACCAGAGGCCGATCATCATCTCACTTGCTGCATGTTACCGTTCGACGCATTGGTGCCTTGATCTTGGCTGCTCTTGCCCGTCCTGTGTATGGCTACACGGAGACTGACCGCAACCCCGCGGACAACCCGTCGAGGGGGGCGGCTGTGGCTTCTGGTTGACGTCATGCCAGGTCGAGTTCAACACAGAGTCAGAGCAGCGCAGGATCAGGCTACGCGTCGTCAACTTCGGGCCGTGGTGGGTCGCCTATCACACAATTTGGTGCAGCCACGGACGCTGGAAGTGTATCAGAATGCAGTGAGATGTTTTTCAGATTGGATTGCCATGAGAGGGCTTTCTTGGTCTGGAGGTGCCGACCACATCGATCAACTGGATCTTCTGGTGGCCGACTGGATCGAGTGGCTCTGGACTGAGGGGCATCCTCAAGGCTTGGCAGGTAACACTCTTTCAGCCGTTCAGTTCTTCTTGCGCAAAAAACGCATCTTGCCAGCGTCGTGGCGGCTACTTCGTGCTTGGCAGAGATTAGAGCTGCCGCAGCGCGTGCTTCCGATGCCTGACATCGTGTTGACGGCGCTGGCTGCCACCGCGCGTGGCTGGGGCCGCAACGACGTCGCGGCGCTGCTGGTTCTCGGCTTCGCGGCCTTCCTGAGGACCACCGAGATGCTGACCTTGCGGCGCTGGCAGGTGGCCATCGACGAGGCTCGCGCCAGAATCGTTGTAGTGTTGCCAAACACAAAAAGTGGCCTGCGATTTCATCGACAGGAGACAGCCGTGATTGAGGATGCCTCGGTGACGCAGCTGATATCGTATTTATTACGACATGCTCCGTCAGACCAACAGATATTGTCATCTTCAATTGGTGATTTCAGACGTATATTTGAGCAGCTGTGTGCTGCTATCGGTTGCCAGCAGTTTCAATTCAAGCCATGCAGTTTAAGAAGAGGGGGGGACACATCGTTCTTCCGTCGCACTCGTAACATGCCTGCCACTCTAGAGAGAGGGCGTTGGCAAGACACGGCGACGGCTCGTATATACCTCACAGAAGGCCAGCAGGCTCTCTCAGAATTGCGCGTTTCGCAGTCAACCCTCGAAAGATGGAGTTTTCTTGGGAGCTTGCTGGCCTACGATGTGGCCTCCCCCCCCTGCGGTGGTTTCAAGGCGGTGAACCAGGTAGGGAGACGTGGAAGAGCTCTTGGGTCCTCTCGGCCTCGTCTTGCCTCATCGTTGCGCCCGGGGTTTTCCTGGTGGCCGCTGGCGGCCGCTGGCGGCCGCTTCGAGGGGCCCAGAGGCAACACGGGGCGGTGAGTTCAATGGGGCTCAGCCGCCCCGCTGGTGGGCCCGCGAGGCCCCGCTCGACAATACCCTGGTGGAAGCGGCGTGGCACAAAACAAGAGGGGATCCCACATAGTAAGAGAAACAAAAATCCATGTTAGAACATGTTGGTTGTTTCTCCTATGGGGCCCCTCTCTCCTGTTCATGCGCCGCGATGCCGCCTCGCCGCAGGCTTTTTGTCTCCCACCCTCGGGCCACCCTTTCGAGAGGGAAGAGCTCTTGGGTCCTCTCGGCCTCGTCTTGCCTCATCGTTGCGCCCGGGGTTTTCCTGGTGGCCGCTGGCGGCCGCTTCGAGGGGCCCTGGTTTTCCGCGGAGGAGTCCTGGGACCATAGGCCTCGTTCGGCCTGGCCTCGCCCTGGGAGAAGCTCGGCCGCGCGGTGCTGGCGGCGCTGGCGAGAGGCAACACGGGGCGGTGAGTTCAATGGGGCTCAGCCGCCCCGCTGGTGGGCCCGCGAGGCCCCGCTCGACAATACCCTAGTGGAGGCGGCGTGGCACAAAACAAGAGGGGACCCCAAATAGTAAGAGAAACAGCCCTGTGATTCTACAGGGGCCGCTGCGCCCTCGAGGTTCTCTCTCCTCTCTCTCTCTCTCTCTCTCTCTCTCCTCCTCCCCCTCCTCCTCCTCCTCCCCCTCCTCCTCCCCGTCCTCCTCCTCCTCCCCCTCCTCCTCCTCTCTCTCTCTCTCCCCCCTGCGCGCTTCCTTCAGAAGAGGAGGAGGAGGAGGAGGAGGAGGAGGAGGAGGAGGAGGACGACGACGAGGAACAGGAGCAGGAGAAGGAGGGTCTGGATGAGGAGGAGAGGGAGGAGGGGGAGAAAGAACACGATAGACAGAAAGAGAGAGAGAGAGAGACAGAAAGAGGGAGAGGCAGAGAGAGAGCGAGAGAGAGAGGGAGTAACAGAGAGAGAGAGAGAAGCAATCAGAAAAAAAAGAGCGAGAGAGAGATAGAGAAGGGGAGATTTTTGAGGGAGCGGCGACCCCTGTGGACTCACAAGGTTGACGACGTCAGGGGTCGCCAATCCTTGTGTTTTCTTGGGGGCGTTCATGTCTGGGGTGCGAATCAAGGACGCCTTGTGCTTTCACTTGGGTTATGTTGGATCGTCGGGATCCCTGAGGTTCTGAAGCGTCGGAGGCTCCTGGATTGTGTTTTTGTTGCAGGGGGAATTCAAGCAAACAGACTCGAATGAATTCACACGATTCCCATGATTCTCATCCCAGAGATCCCAAACATCCTAATGAGAAGACGGGGCTTCGCGACCCCTGACGTCAAAAAAAACCTTGTGATTCTTCAGGGGTCGCTGCTCCCTCAGGTCTCTCTCTTGTTCTCTCTCTCTCTCTCTCTTTCTCCTCATCATCCCTCTCCTCCTCCTCCTCCTCCTCCTGCTCCTCCTCCTCCGTCCTCCTCCTCCTCCTTCGCCCTCCTCCGCCCCGCCTCCTCTATCTCTCCCTCGTTTTTTCTTTCTCTCTCTCCCTGTCTCTCATGTGCGCATCAGAAGAGGAGGAGGAGGAGGAGGAGGAGGAGGTGCAGGTGCAGGAGGTGCAGGAGGTGGAGGAGGAGGAGGAGGAGCTGGAGGAGGAGGAGAAGGAGGAGGGGGGGAACGAGCAAGAGAGACAGAGAGAGAACAAACAGAAAACAGAGAGAGAGAGAGAGAGAGAGAAACAGCGAGAGGGAGGAGTCACAGACAGATGATCTTGAGGATGCAGCGATCCCTGTGGACTAGCAAAGTTTGCGACGTCAGGGGCCGCCAAACCTCGTGTTTTCATGCGGATCTTTGGTACCTCTGGCATGGGAATCAAGGGAGCCTTCTGTATTCGTGTGATTCCCAAGCTTCTGAAGCTCCGTAGGCTCCTGAATCGATTTCTGGGGAATGAGAGAATTTACAAACTCCCCAAACATCAAATGAAAACATACGGTTCTTTGATTCACATCCCAATGCCACACACAAGGTTTGGCGACCCCTGACGTCGCAAACACCGTAATTCCACAGGGATCGATGGTCCCTCAAGCCTTTCTCTCCCTCTTTCCATGTATGTTTCTATCCAGTGCGCTCCAGAAGAGGAGAAGGACGAAGAGGAGGAAGTGGACGTGCAGGATGAGGAGCTGGAAGAGGAGGAGGAGGAGGAGGAGGAGGAGGAGGAGGAGGAGGAGTAGGAGGAGGAGGAGGAGAGAGAGAGAGAGAGAGTGAGAGAGAGAGAGAAACAGAACACTGAAAAAGAGCCTGAGAGGAGGAGGAAGAGGAGGAGGAGGAGGACGGGATGATGATGATGATGATGATGATGATGATGATGATGATGGTGATGATGATGATGATGATGATGCTGATGCTGATGCTGATGCTGATGATGATGATGATGATGATGATGATGTGATGATGATGATGATGATGCTGATGCTGATGCTGATGCTGATGATGATGATGATGATGATGATGATGAGGATGAGGATGAGGATGCGGATGAGGATGAGGATGAGGATGAGGATGAGGATGATGATGGATGATGATGATGATGATGATGATGATGCTGATGATGATGATGATGATGAGATGATGATGATGATGAGATGATGATGATGATGATGATGATGATGATGATGATGATGCTGATGCTGATGATGATGATGGTGATGGTGATGGTGATGGTGATGGTGATATGGTGATGGTGATGATGATGATGAGAGGAGAGGAGGAGGAGGAGGAGGAGAGGAGGAGGAGGAGGCGGAGGAGGCGGAGGAGGCGGAGGAGGCGGAGGAGGAGAGAGGAGGAGGAGGAGGAGGAGGAGGAGGAGGAGGAGGAGAGGAGGAGGAGGAGGCGGAGGAGGCGGAGGAGGCGGAGGAGGAGGAGGAGGAGGAGGAGGAGGAGGAGGAGGAGGAGGAGGAGGAGGAGGAGGAGGAGGAGGAGGAGGAAGGAGGAGGAGGAGAGGAGAGAGGAGGAGAGGAGGAGGAGGAGGGAGGAGGAGGAGGAGGCGGAGGAGGAGGAGGAGGAGGAGGAGGAGGAGGAGAAGGAGAGAGAGAGAGAGAGAAACAACAACAATAACAAGAGCCAGAGAGACAGGGGCCGCTTCCCCTTCGAGTTTCTTCCGTCGCACCCTCTCTTTATGTCCCCCTCTCTCGCTCACCCTTTCCGTCACGCTGCTCCGTCGGGAGAGGAAGAACACGACGAAGAGGACGATCATAACAATCACCGTCGCAAAGTAATATTGGGAAGACGGGGTGCTGGGGGCAGGGGCTGTCCATACCAATCTCTATATATATATATATATATATATATATACAAGTGGCACGTGTGTGTGTCCAGGCTTTAACAAAAAAACTGAAAGGGCGTTTGAAGCAGGAAGACACCATGACTGCAGGATCGGAGATGGAGAAGGGGAAGCTGGGGCGGCGCCGCCAGGGCGTGCCCAAGAGAAGGGGAAGAGGCAGGAGGTGAACACAGAAGCATATAAGATCGAGGTCGCACTCGAGCGCTGCGACGTGTGTACCAGGACCCCCCCAGGAACCCTCAGGAGGCCCAACTTGGATACTGGAAGAGGCTCCAGGAGGCCTCGGGATTGTGAGTGTTGTGTGTGTGCGTGTGTGTGTGTGTGTGCGTGTGTGATGTGTGCTTTGTGTTGTGCGTGTTTTTGTGCGTTGTAGGTGTTGTTTGTGTGTGTTATGTTTGTCTAGCGTGTGATGTGTTGGGTGTGATTTGTGTCTCTCTGTGCGCATGTAGTTCTGAGGCCCCAGGAGGCCCCGGGCGGCCTTAGGAGGCCCCAGGAGACCCCAGGAGGCTCGAGGAGGCCTCAAGAGCCTCCAGGAGGCCGCAGGAGGCTCCAAGAGGCCCCAGGAGGTTCAGGAGACCCCCAGGAGGCTCCGAGGCGGGTTCTGGGGTACCAGAACGCACAGAAAGCCCCAGGAGGCCTCAGGAGGTTCCAGGTGGCCCCCAGGAGGCTCCGAGGCGGGGTCTGGGGTACCAGAAGGTACGTCGGGGCTCAATTTTGGGAGGATGTTTCAGGCGAAACCGCTGCTCTCTGAGAATCGGAGTCAACATCATTGAAATTCCGATGTGTTTTTGAAGGTTTTATGTTATCATGTTGAAATTCCGATGTGTTTTTGGACCCTGACGTCGCGATCTGCGTGAGGGGGGCCACCGATTTTCAGAATTTCGAGGATGTCCTTAGCGAAACAGCCAGACAAATCGCGAACGCGGCGCCCCGCGTACGCATTAATCGCCTCTGAGCTCTACTCCCTCGGAGAGGTGCGTATGATCATATATATATATATATATATATATATATGTGTGTGTGCATATATCATATACCTCTGTATATATATATATATATATATATATATATATACACATGTACATCTATCATCATAAATAGTGTGTTATCAGACTTCGGTCGTTCTGAAAACAGGCCCGGAAACGATATGCTCTGCGGGATCCTGTTGGCGTTTCTGCGCAGCCCCATCCGGCGGGGCCCAGGCACCTCGGAGTACAGTCGGACCGAGGTCTGCGATCGAGGTCTGGTTCGGAGACGGTGCCCTCGTATTCTTCGTGCTTGCTGGATGCTCTCGTGCCTACTGGGGGAGGGTACCCTTGGCTGTTCTGTCTGTTTGTCTGTTTTGGCCGACGGAGGGCCCCATGTGCTTGAAGGATGTTCTTCTGGCCGAGGGCCGATTGTATACGTTCGCAGTTAGTCGAAGAAGGGAACACACCATAAACATCAGTTTTTGCGGAGAAAAAAAAAACGATGTGGAACATGGTGGGCGTTTGCGGTGGGGAAAAAAACCATAAACATCAACTTTTGGCGCTCCGCGCGGATCTCTTGGATCCGCGCTGGCCCCTCCCCCAAGCGGCGCCTTTGGAGCCGCCCCTGGCGCGGTCCGCGCGCCGGGGAGGGGGTCCAGCGCAGATCCAAGAAATCCGCGCGGAGCGCCGGAAGTGTATGTTTGCACCGGTGTTCTTGCTCCTCTAGTTCCTTCTGTAGCAAATCATGGAAGCCTGGTATACCCTCTTAATTCCACATTTTGCTTCCATCAGCGTCTGGGAGTCGATGGGAGCGTCGATTAGCGTCTGGGAGTCGATGGGGTAGCGCCGACTTAGCCGATCTAGCATCGATTGGCGTCGATGTTGCGTCGATCATTGTCGGTTTGGCGTCGACTACAGCGTCGATTCGCAAGAGCCGACAAGATGGTACGGGAGGCTCCCATGAGTTGCCACCGAAAGTTCCCCTCCTCTGGGATGACCGTGGGGGGTTCTAACTGGAGAAGGTGGGTTACAGGTGGATGCCAAGGTGGGTTATATCTGGCCCAACCTGGTTTACAAGTGGGTTACCAGTGTTCCGAGTGGCTTAGGGGGGTCAGATAACTCCGCCAAGTGGGCGGAGTCCAATTACTACCCTGGATAGCCAACCCCCCGAAAAGCCACTCGGGGCACTGGTGACCCACTTGTAAGCCAGGCTGGGCCAGATATAACCCGCCTTGGCATCCTCTTGTAACCCCCCTATCCACTTAGCACCCCCCCAGGTCATCCAGTAGGTGCTCGCATATATATTATATATAATATATATATATATATATATATATATATATATATATGTATATATATACACATATATATACATATATATATATATATATATATATGAGCGTATACTCAGATGTAGATGTGTACGCATATACCTTTCTGGCTTCTGAGGCTTCGGGAAGGCTTCCTCCATCCCCTCCTCCTCCGCCCTCCACCTCTGCTCACCACCTCCCTCCTCCTCCGCCCTCCACTTACAGTGCCGTTTTTAATACATGCTCCGCGTGCGGATCATGTATTAAGAAATGCAGGGATTTAGTATTAACAACAGCGATGAGTTCATGCATAAAATTGTTCAGAAATGAATCATGCATCAACAAATACCATATTTTCTGTTATTCTGACAAAAAATCAGATGTATTGAAAAGTGCCCTGTTGAAAACCCCCCCACGGTCATCCCCTCCGTGGCTTCCCCCCCCACCGCTGCGGGCGCGCGCCCAGCGCGCGCCGTGTCCCCCCGCATTTCGGGAGCCTTGAGACGGGGGGTCCATGCAAACGGGGGTCAGCCAGAGCGCCCGATCTTGCAGGATCCTGCACGGCCAGGTTCGTATTGACCCGGGCTTGGGTGGGTGCAGGGCCCTTCGGGATCCGGCAGGATGCCCTGCATTTGACCCGCGGGTTTGGTGCAGGACCCTGCAGGCTATCCTGCAGGCTATCCTGCAGGGCCCGGCTGACCCGGGCCTGCACTGACCCGGGCCAGCGGATCGATCCCCCCCCTTCGCGGGCAGGCGCGGCAGGCCCTGCCGGTTCTGGGCCAGGCGCTGGCCGGCGCCACGGAGACGGCCGCGCGGGCCGGGCTGCAGGCGCGGCGCCGCGGCCGCCCTGCGTCGGCGCCGGGCCCTTTTTTTCTCGCGTCGTTCGGACAACAAAAACACAAAAAAAGACACAATGCGGAGGTTTTTCGCCGCTTTCGACAACAAAAACAACAACAAAAAGGAAAGCACAGGGCGGAGGTGTTTCGCCGCTTGCGGCCCCCGGGGGGGCTCTCAAGCGACGCGCCGGGGTGGAGCACCGGCCCCGGGGAAGGGGTCGGGGGACTTCCGGGGACGCCGCACCGACAAAAAGCAGGACGTCGCATGTTTGGGAACGGCACCCATACCCTGCCCCCGTTTTCCCCTTTGCGGGCCTCCCGGGCGGTCCTCGTCGCCGCCGCTGGATTCGCCTCGAAATCCTGGTCAGAGCGCACGCCAGGAGAGGTCCGGGGAGTAGCGGTATCGGTACCTTTTGGTCTCCCCAGCCTCTGCGTTGGGCCCTGCTCTCGCGTTGCAATTTTTCCCTGCAAAAAAACAGGGCGGAGTAGTGTTCTGCCGTTTTCGGCCTCTGGAGGAGGCTCTCGCGGGGCCCCGGGACCGTGAGAAAACGACGCGCAGGGTGAAGAACCGGCCCCGTGGTCTGGGTCGGGACTTCCCGCGCGTTGCAGGAATCAGGACGTCGCATGTCTGGGAACGACACCCATACCGCTACCCTTCGCCCGTTTTCACCTCTTCGGGCGCCTGCTCGGAGGCCTTCGTCGCCACCGCTGAATGTGCTTCGGAGTTCTGGTCAGGATGGGTTCCGAAAGAGTCCCGGGAGTAGCGGTATCGGTACCTTGTGGTCTCCCCATGGATGGGGCCGAAGTAGATGGGGTCGGAGGATCGCGCTGCACTGCCGATGCATCGCCAATGCGGCTCGATGTAAAGGCCGTGATTCTTCACGCCCACGTCGCCCGTGCATCGCGGATGCATCGCCGATACATCGGCGATGCATTGCCGATGCGGCGCGATCCTTCGACCCCATCTACTCAGACCCCATTTAGGAGGCCTCTACCATAAGAGTGGCTTTCGGCCGGAGTGACTTTTGGCTGGAGTGCTCCCAGATTCACCGAGCGCGTTCCATTACTCGCAAAGTGCTTACTCGCAACTGTCAGGAAGCCAAGAAATGTCTTCCTCTCGTGGCGGATCCAGGCCATTTGCGAGTAGATGTTCTTGCGAGTAGTGGAACGCGCTTGCCCAGTAAGAGTGACCTTTCGCCAGAGTCACTCTTGGTGTGGGCTCAATGGGGCCCCCCGATCGCCGAATGCGAGTCGAAGAACACAAACAACTGCATAAACATAAACTTTTGGCGCTCCGTCGCAGGTGATTGCATTCGGTGGGTTGTTGCGTTGATGCTGCGTCGCTGCACGCGTCTGGGCTGCTTCTGGTATATTCAGTTTCGATCGCTTTCGACTTCGTTGTCGTCGGCTCGGTTGGTTTCGTGTTGTACTGTCGCTGCTGATGGCTGTGGAATTTACGTAACAAAAGACGAGCCCTCAATTGTGATCTAACCCGCGTTGTCACCGAAGGTGTCGCAGAAGTTGAGAACAGCACTGGTTTCCGTCAGGGATTTCGGTCACCTTTGGTCTCTATCGGGCTCTGGGGGTCGCTCACGTTCGGGCCGATTTTCGGGCCAATGATCGATCACTGCGCCCGTTGATGGGGCGAGGCTACGCGGCCTTCTCTCCCACAAAACCAACAACAGAGTAATGAGTAATGCCTTCCTTGCATTGCCAGCGGAGCCGTGGAGAGGATAACGGGATCAGGCCGATGCGGTTTCCATCTGTCTATCGACATGCTTCCGGTAAGCCCGGCGACTGTACACGTGCAGCACCGCGGCAGGGAGGCGATTGAGTTTGAGGCTCGCTGCAGCCCAGCTGTTTGTTTAGATTGGCGCGGGTCTCGAGCACCACCTCCCCGGTTCTACTTCGTTCCGATCGGTTTGGTTGGATATTTGGTTCGGCATTTTAATTCCATGCTAGCGCTTCGCTAATGGGCTCGGGGCAAACGTTCTTCTCACTAGAATCTCAGGGGGGGCCGGGGGGAGGCGTCTCATCGGCCCAGAATCTGCTGGCAGCGTTCACTACGATGTTCGATCCGATGGATTTCCTGAGGAATCCGATGGATTTCCGGGGGAATCCGATGGATTTCCAAAGGAGTCCTATGGATGTTCGAAGGAATCTTGCGGATCTCCCAAGGAATCTTATGCATTTTCAAAAGAATCCGATGGATTTCCAAAGAAATTCTACGGCTCGATTTAGTCCAGACATGTGATTCATTGTGGCGTTCTGGCTCGAATGTGGCGGCCCAGAATCTGCCCCCAGCGCTTACTCTGGTCTCTGGCTCGATCTTGGTCCAGAAATGAGGTTCATCATGGTGTTCTGGCTCGATCTCAGCCCTCCCAGATTTATATCCGAAACTCACTATAGCGTTCTTGTTCGACTTGGTAGACATTATCCTGACGAAGGGCACAACCATATGCAGTTGTGAGTGCCGCAGGGCAGGCGGGACGATCGAGGGGGAACTCCCTATGGGGCCGCGAACCGCATGAGACCGGCGAGCCGCATGAAGGGTGTTTCAACATGTGGCGGGGACCGCATGCGGGCTGTGGGGGAGACGCATGCGACGACGGCCGATGTGACCTTCGGTGGAACTTCTTGAGGGGCCACGAAATGTGCGACGGGCGTGCAGGAATGGGCTGGGGAGGCGAGCGCGAGGACGGCCGCAGGGACATTCGGTGGAGCTCCCTATGATGGGCCGCGAAACGTGTGAGCGGTGTGCTGAAATGGGTGGGTCGGACGCATGCGGGCAGCGCCACTGGAATTTCCGGCGGATCTCCTTATGGGGCCACGATGTTCGTGAGGGGTGTGCCGAAAGGGGCAGGTCGGACGCATGTGGCCGATGACTCTTGGATTTTTCGGTGGGTCTCCCTATAGGACCACGGTCCTCGTGAGGAGTGTGCCAAAATGGGTGGGTCGGACGCATGCGGCCGATGTCCCTAGGACCTGCAGTGGATCTCCCTATGGGGCCACGAAACGTGCGAGGGTTGTGCCGAAATTGGTGGGTTGGACGCATGCGGGCGGCGCCACTTGCACTTTCGGTGGAGCTTACCATGGGGCCACGATCCTCGTGAGGGGTGTGTTGAAATGGGTGGGTTGGGCGCATGCGGGCGGCGGCCCTGGGAGCTTCGGTGGAGCTCCCCATGGCGCCACGAAGCGTGTGAGGGGTGTGCCGAAGCTGATGGAGTTGATGGAGTTGATGGCGATGATGGCGATGATGACGATGATGACGATGATGACGATGATGACGATGATGACGACGATGATGATGCTGATGATGATGGTGATAATGATGGTGATGGTGATGGTCATGCTGATGATTGATTTGATGATGGGGGTGGTGGTGATGGTGATGATCATGATGGTGGTGAGGGTGATGATGATGAGATGATGATGATGCTGATGCTGATGCTGGTGATTGTGATGGTGACGATGCTACTGATGAGGATGCTGATGATGAGTGTGATGCTGACGCCGATGCTGATGCAGAAAATGATGCCGATGCTGATGTTTGCTGTTGATGATGATTATGTTGACGATGCTGATGCAGATGATGAGGATGATGATGCGTATGATGTGCCAATGCTGATTCTGAGTCTGATGATGATGACGATAATGATGATGATACTGATGCTGCTGATGATGAGTGTGATCATGATGATGACGAGGACGAGGAGCACGATAAGGATGAGGAGGAGAGCGAGGATGAGGATGAGGATGATAATGATGATGATGATCATGATCATGATCATGATCATGACAATGGTCTGACGATGACGATGACGGGGATGGGAACGATGACGATGACGATGGGGATTAGGATTAGGATTAGGATCAGGATGATGATGATGATGATGATGATGATGATGATGATGATGATGATGATGATGATGATGATAATGATAATGATGATGATGATGATGATGATGATGATGATGAGGGTGATGATGATGATGATGATGATGATGAGGGTGATGATGATGCTGATGATGATGATGACGATGATGAAATTGACGATTATGCCATGATGATGAGGAGGAGGAGGTCATGGATGGTGATGATGATGATGGTTGTGGTGGTGGTAATGTTGGTGGTGGTGGTGATGATGAAGTTGTTGTCGATGATGATGATCACGATGATGGTGATGCTGATGGTGATGACGATGCTGGCATGCGAAGAGCAAAGGCAGGGATGGGAGGAGGAGGAGGAGGAGGAGGAGGAGGAACGCGGGGGGCTGTCTCTTCAAAGCGATGACCCAGCACCTCTGGATGGACGGGGAAAATGAAGCTCGCTATTTTCTGGCTTGCCATATTTTCAAGACATGTACAGGGGAGCCTGGGGGGAGGCTTCTCACCGGTCCAGCAGCTTTCCCGCATTCGGCCCAGTATTGCGACCTGGCTCGCTTTCAGCCTTTGCAGATCCAGAAGTGAGATCCACTCTGGCGTTCTCTTTCGAGGCTCACTTTGACGTTCTGGCTCCCTTTCAGCCCTTGCAGATCTAGACATGAAATTAAGTACAGGGTTCTGGCTCGAGTTGGCCCAGAAGTAAGACTCACTATGGAGCTCCGGCTCGGTTTCAGTCCAAAGATTCGTTTCACCAGAATGTCCACAGGGGTGTCCAAGTGTTCTGGCTCGATTGAAGCCCTAGCAGATCAAGATATGAGACTCCGTCGAATGTTCTGGCAAATGAACAATGTATTTTCGCATGTTCCTATATGCTGCCCACTTCCTGGAGCTCGAATGCGTGTTTGTTTTCGTGATGCTCCGACACATCGACCAGTTCCTGTGACTCGATTCCTACATCTGTTTCATATGTTCCCGTCGGTTGCCGCTTTCCTGGGGCTCGACCCCTGTGTTTGGCGGCGCGCAGAGGGGGGTAGGGGGAGGGGGGAAGGCTTCTTAGAAGCACCCCTGCTTCTTAGAAGGTGCGGGCCTTCTCTGCAGATGTAAGGCCGGCGCCTTCTAAGAAGCAGCCTCCTTCTGAGAAGCCTTCCCCCCTCCCCCTACCCCCTTTCAGCTCTCCCCGAGGCTAGGATCCACTAATGGTGTTTTTTCATGCTCATTTTGTTGCTTTATGTTTTTTCTTGTTTCGTTTTTGCGGCGCGCGCTGGACTCGCGCTCCGAACTCATTGCTCATTGCCGTTTTTGTTGGATTCGGGCGCTATGGTTTTGCCCCCTCCTTCTCGTGGGGGGTGGCTGAATCGCGGGCGCGCGTATGCCCATGGTTGCGCATCTCGCGCGTATGCCCATGGTGGCGGCGAGCAGAAGGGGCCCTTCTGCTCGCCGCCAATGTGTGCTTCATTTCTTTGCCAATCTATGCTCCTCCTCCTGCGAGTGGCTCGAAGCCGATGTGCCGTGCCTACAGGTTTCCCCCCCCTCCCTGCGGCTCGAGTCCCCTGTGCTTTGCGCACGTGCCTACTCGCCACCCACCAAACCACCCCAACCCAACCCGAAGGTCTCGATTTGCCCTCCATTTCCAGTTGGGGGGTCGGGGAACATCGAGAAAACACATATGGAACCCGTACCCCCCCCAACCCGAAATTCGGGTCTTCGGGTTGGGTTGGGGTGGTCTGGCAGAGAGTCACCTACAGACTGGCCCTCCTGTGGGCTTGGAACCTGGTGCGCTTTTTGCGCATGTGCCCGCGGACTGCCCCCCTCCCCTGTGGCCTCGGACCCCCCGTGTGTCTCCCCGGGCCTCTCCCGACCCCGGGGCGCAGCGTCGGATGTCTAGTTGCATCCGCTGGCGACCCGGTGATTTGTACGTCTCTGGAGGAGGAGGAGGAGGAGGAGGAGGAGGAGGAGGAAGAGGAGGAGGAGGAGGGAGGAGGAGGAGGAGGAGGAGGAGGGGAGGAGGGGGAGGAGGGAGGGGAGGAGGAGGGGCTGCGAGGCTGACGGTGCGGGTCGGAGTCCAAGCCAAGCTGCGCGCCAGCCAGAGCCCACGCTCCCCGCGGGGGCCCCCCGCGGGCCTCGGGACATCACCTCCTCCTTTTCCTCCTCCCCCTCCTCCTCCTCCTCCTCCTTCTTCCTCCTCCTCTTTTTCCTCCTCCTCCTCTCTCCTCCTCCTCCTCCTCCTCCTCCTCCTCCTCGACTTCCTGAGTTCCAGGCGCCCCAGCCAGCAGGCCCCCATGGGGCTTCGCACCCCCATCTCCGGGGGCTCGAATTCCGTGTCTTACGCGTGTGCCTATCGTTTGGACCTCTCTTGTGGCTTGAATCCTATGTTATTGCTGTCGTATGTGCCCATAGATTGCCGTTTCCTGGGGCTCGATTTCCATGTTTTTCATGTATTTTATTGTGCATTACCCTTCTCCTGTAGGTCGAATCCTATGCGTGCTATGTCTGTGCCTATGGATTCCCCCCTCCTGTGGCTCGAATCCGCTGTGTTTCACGCATTCGCCTGTTGATTGCCCCTCTCCTGTGGCTCGAGTCCTGTGCGTCTCCCCAGGCCTCCCGAGGCCCGGGATGGACCTCGGCAGTGTATCTGCACCCCTGTTTTTGAAGCCTCTCTGCGGCTCCTCCCCGGGCCTCCCGAGCTCCTTCCGGGCCCCGGGACGGAGCGCGTCGGAGGTTTGTGTGCATCCCGTGTCAAGGCACTGCTTTCAGTGAGGCCCCTGGGCGCCCGGGGGCCTCCCGAGGCCTCGCACCCGTCTCCCTCTTTTGTGGGGGGCCTCCCGAGGCCTCGCACCCCTCCTCTCCCTCCTGTGGTTCGATGTGTATCTATATACACATATATATATATACACATATGTATATATATATATGTGTGTGCGTCTGTGTGTGTGAGTGTGTGTGTGTGTGTGCGTGCGTGCGTGCGTGCGTGCGCGCGTGAGTGCGTTATTTATGACTTGTGTGCCCGTGTCGGGGGACCCCAGACGGGGTGGTGACCACACCGTGTGGTGGGTCGGTGGGGCTTCGGGGTCCCCGCACGGTCCCGGGGCTCGGGTCGTGCTCCGCGAGCGTCTCGGGCGAGCCTTGGGCGTCCGGGGTCCCAACAAAGCCGTGCGTGGACGGACCGTGCGGTGGGGTCTTGGGGGATTCCGAGGTCACCGCGCGGTCTGTCGCCGCACCGTTTCGGGACTCCAGGCTGTGGGTTGGCCCTCTTCTCCTCCTCCTCCTCCTCCTCCTCATCCTCCTCCTCCTCCTCCTCTTTCTCCTCCTCTTTGTCCTCCTCCTCCTCCTCCTCCTCCTCCTCCTCCTGGGGCTCGAGTCCCATGTGTTTTTTAGGTGCGTGCCTGCAGATGGCCCGTTTGAGTGCTGCGTGGTGTTTTACGTGTGTGCCTATGGACTGCCATTTCTCTTCTGATGAGTATCGTGGAACCGATCCCCATCCCCACCAGCGTGGGCTGGGCCCCACTGGCCGATTTACCCCCCCATAGGCCGTATCCTTCGGGTTTCGAGGGTGTATCCCAAACTGGGGGTGTAATTTGGTGGGGGTCTCGAAGGGGATGGGCATGGGGATGGGGATCAGTTAAACGATACTGATATGGCCGGACTCCTATGCGTTTTGCGTAAATGCTTATGGAGTGTTCTCTCGAGTGGCTCGATGTTCATGTGTTTTACGTATGAGGTGGATAGGGAGGCGGATCGTGGGGAGTAGGAAGGGGCGGAAGTGGGGGGAGGGACGGACCGGGAGGTGGAGGAGAATTAGGCGGAGGAGGCGGAGAGGAGGAGGAGGAGGAAGTGGAGGAGGATTAAATAGGAGGAGGCGGAGGAAAAGGGGGAGGAGGAGGAGGAGGAGGAGGAGGAGGAGGAGGAGGAGGAGGAGAGGAGGAGGAGGAGGAGGAGGAGGAGGAGGAGGAGGAGGAGGAGGAGGAGGAGGAGGAGGAGGAGGAGGAGGAGGAGGAGAGGCGGAGGAGGAGGAGGAGGAGGAGGAGGGAGGAGGAGGAGGAGGAGGAGGAGGAGGAGGGAGGAGGAGGAGGAGGAGGAGGAGGAGGAGGAGGAGGAGGAGGAGGAGGAGGGAGGAGGAGGAGGAGGAGGAGGAGGAGGAGGAGGAGGAGGAGGAGAGAGGAGGAGGAGGAGGAGGAGGAGGAGGAGGAGGAGGATGGGGGGAGGAGGAGGGGGAGGAAGGAGGAGGTGGAGGAGGAGGAGGAGGAGGGAGGAGGAGGGAGGAGGAGGAGGAGGAGGAGGGAGGAGGAGGATGCGGAGGAGGAGGCGGGCGACGGGGAGGGAGCGGCCGGAGCGCGCGGGCGAGGTGGGCAGCGTGGGCCTCAGAGCCGTGGCCGACATGCTGCCGGAGGTGGGCCGGGCCACGGCGTCCCTGGCGGAGAGGGCGCCTTCGCCTTCGCGGGGGGGGGGGCGCCGCAGGGGTGGGGCCGCCGCAGGGGTGGGGCCGCCGGCGCCTCGAGAGGGCAGGGCGGCGTCGGCCCCCGAGTCACGCTGTCGTGCTCCTCCTCCTCCTTCTTCTTCTTCTTTCTTCCTCCCTCTCGTCCTCCTCCTCCTTCCCCTCCTCCTCCTCGTCCTCCTCCTCCTTCTCCTCCTCCTCCTCCTCCTCCTCCTCCTCCTCCTCCTCCTCTCGTCGTTTTCTTCTGCATTGTTTCGCCGATCGGCGCGGGCCCTCGCACGCCTCAAGCAGTGGCGAAGCGTCCTGGCTCGCCTATAACCCTACCAAACAGTGTTCTAAGAACCTTCTGTAGTTACCACGACATGTTCTCAGAGCATTTCTGGCGGAGATTGTTTTGTTTTAGCACATCGGGTCCATGTTCTAAGAACATTGTTATTGTTCTTAGAACATTTTTTGGTTCTAAGAACATATCGTGGTAGGACTATAGGAATGCCGGGACGGTCGGTCCCTGCTCAAACGCCGTCTCTCCCCCGTGGAGCAGATCTTAGCTGTGTGTTGGCGCCCGTTTCGGGCCCGTGGGGTCTCTTTCTCGTGGGGCGTGCTGCTGCACACAGTCGCACCGAGCAGAAGCCCGGCGCCAGACCCTCCCACCTCCCCCCTCCGCCCAGTGCCGAAACGCCGAATAAGAAGACGTTTACGTGAGAACTCACGGAAGGTTCTGCTCGTCTTGGGTTGAATATGCACCGGCGCCCAAGCGCGCCCTCTCGCGTCATGAAACAATCACGGCGAGAGGTGTTATGTTCGACCTCTGGAGGCGCTTACTGGGCCTCGGGACCGTCAAACGACGACTCGGGAGGAGAAACCGGTCCTTGGGAAGGGGTCGAGACCTCTGGGGGTCGACGGTCGACGTCACGAAAGAATCATGACGTCGGGGGTCTGGGGAGTCACATGGGATTTCACGGAAGCTTCCGCCCGTCTTGGTTTGAATATGCACCAGCGAAGAGCGCCTCACAGTGCCAATACTGGTCCTATCGCCGAAGAGGGCCCAGTAGCGCCCAATTCTGGTAACGCTCGAAGAGCGCCCCAATAGCGACCAACAACGTCCAACAGCGTCATGTGAGGGAGATGTGTTGTGTCCGCTTTGCGCGCGGTTGGGTGCTCCATTGGGCGCCACGCGGACGACCAAAGGCGCCCGTGAGTTGTTTCCTAACCGACGTGGGCAACGAGCCCAGGCGAGCAGCGAGAGGAGGTAGGTCTACTCAGAAGGCGGCGGGGCTTCTCAGAAACCCTCGCGCTTTCTGAGAAGTCTTCTGTCTTGACGGCCCCTCTCCAATCGTCTTTCGGGGATTAAGCCAGAGAAGTTAATGCACATCGACGTCGGCATGTGGAAGTCCAAGTGGATAAAGGTGCATCCAGACGGGTCCAGGCAATTTTGGAGGAATCTTGGAGGAATCGTGGAAGTTCCAGCGTGAGTCAAAAAAAGCAAAGTCTTGAAGACCTTATCGAGTCAGACTCCCAACGTCCCAACGTCTGAATAATAGCAAGGCGCAGATGTTCGTCGTGTTCGGCGTCTGGAGGCAGTTTTTGGGCCCCTGGGCCATCACATAACGATCTGGGACGAAACATCGGTCCCTGGTTCGCGGGAGGACCGTCTTGAAAATAAGCAAGGTTTCGGAGGTTCAGGGATCCGTTTTGTCGGTCCTTCTTCCATCATCTTCGTCGTCTGTCGTTATCGTCGTTCGTCGCCGTTGTCGTAATCGTCTCCGTCGTCTCTGTCGGTGTCGTGCGTCGTACTCGCCGTCGTCGTTGGTCGTCGTCGTCCGTCGGCCGCCGTCTGTCGTCACCGTCGTCGCTTTTCGTGGTCGCTCGTCGTGATCGCTGGCGTCGTTGTCGTCGTTCACCGTCGTTGCCGTTCGTCGTGCTGCCATCGTCGCGTCACCACTCGCCCGCGCGCCTGGGTGGGGAGAGGACAGGCGAGGAATCGGAGGAGGAGGAGGAGGAGGAGGAGGAGGAGGAGGAGGAGGAGGAGGAAGAGGAGGAGGAGGAGGAGGAGGAGGAGGAGGAGGAGGAGGAGGAGGAGGAGGAGGAGGAGTGTGGGAGGAGGACGAGGACGAAGACGAGGAGGAGGAGGAGGAGGAGGAGAAGGTGAGAGGCACAAGGCTTTCTCAGAAGGCGGGGGGTTTCTCTTAGAAGCCCTCCCGCTTTCCAGAGGCATCCCCTCGGCCGTTCTCCGGACCTCCTCTTCGCTGCGAGGCTCGAGATGAAGTTACGAACAACCTCGAGGCAACGCAGCAGAAGCCAGAGCACTTGATGCCCCAGACATGATCGCGTCGTCAAAACAAATCAGGATCTGAGATGATTCTCGGCCTCGGGGGGCCCTCGCCGGGCCTCGGGACCGTCAGACAACGATTCGGGACGAAACACCGGTCCCGGGGAGAGGGTCGGGACTTCCAGGGGCGCCGTGCTGAAAAACGCGTCTGGGGCTTCTGCTCCGCGCGCGCACACCCGTGCGGGAGCTGCCGCCCGCGTGCCAAAAAACGGCTGCGGTGGCGGGGCCGACGAGGAGGCAGGCACGCGAGCGCGGGGGCTCGCGCTGGGAGGGAGTCGGCGGCGCGCCCGGGGGCGGGCCTTCGCAGAAGGTCGCCTTCTCGGAGGGGGGCTTGCGGGCCGGGAATGTTCTTCGGGTGGTTGGGCGCCGCGTAATGGGGTGGTCATAAATGGGGGGGTGTCGCGGGTGGTCCGAAAAGGTACCCAAACGGTACCTAAACGAGCCCCCTGGGGCTCCGGAGGGGCCCGAGATGGGCACGGAAAGAACGGGTACGATGCCCAACAGCAGTTCTTGTTCATTCTGAACAGGATTCGCTGTCCACGCCGCCGCGGCCTGTGTCCATTCGAGACAGAAGGCCGCCTGCCCAACAGCGGCCGCTGTTGGTTTGGGACAACATTTGTTGTTGGGCATTGTACCCATTCTTTCGGTACCCATTTCGGGTGTCCAAAGTGGAGGGCAAGGGGTGAGGTCCGACGTGCCACGTCGATGCCTCTTCGAGGCTCGAGTCTGCGGAAGGGTGACTCACACAACGGCTTGAGCCTCGAGGCGCGAGAGCCCATGTGGATTTCACCCTGAGCCCTCCACCCCAAGAAACCTCCTCCTCCTCCTCCTCGTTCTCCTCCTCGTTCTCCTCCTCCTCTTCCTCCTCCTCCTCCTCCTCCTCCTCCTCCTTTTGTTCCTCCTCCACCCTGAGCTCAGGCTGGGCCCTCCCCGAAGCCGCGGAGCACTTCTCAGAAGACCAGGGGGGTTTGTGGTCGTTTTCTCCGGGGCTCAAGGGACGGGGGTCAATGCAGACGGGGGTCAGCCAGAGCGCCCGATCTTGCAGGATCCTGCAGGGCCAGGGTCGCACTGAACCCGGGTTTGGGTGCAGGATCCGGCAGGATCCTTCGCATTGACCCGGATTTTGGTGCAGGATGTTGCAGGATCCTGCCGGATCCTGCAGGATCTTGCGAGGCCCGACTGACCCAGGTCTGGATTGACCCGGGTCTGAAGATCCCCGATTTCTTATTCATTGTTTTGCCGACCCCCCGCCCCGTGGAGTAGATCTTGGCTGTTTTTGGCGCCTGTCTCAAGCATGTGGAGTCCCCCACAGGACCGCTGTTGCAAGCAGTCGCAGATCTTGGCTGTTTTTGGCGCCTGTTTCGAGCAGGTGGAGTCCGTCTACAGGACGCACTTCTGTAAACAGTCGCACTAAGCAGGGGTCCAGAGCCAGACCCCCCCCCTCCCCCCCCTTCCGCCCAATGTCGAAACGTCGACTAAGAAAACGTTCACCTCCTGAGAAGCCCCGCCGCCTTCTGAGAAGGCCTTCTCCTTCTCACTTCCTCCTTCGCTCGCCGCCGAGAGAGAAAGCATCAAAGCGGGCATGTCTTTGTTCTCTGCAGAGTTTGGAGTCGCGGAGCCGTGAAGAGCCGGCTCGCGGGATGACGAGTCGTCGCCCCGGGGAAAGGGGTGCAAACCTCTGGGGGCCACAATTTTGGGGGCCACGTTTTGAGAAGAGATCGCGGCTCGAGGGACAAATCTTTGGGAGTATGGCCTGGATGTCACGGGATCTTGCTCATGCCGATTTGGTCATGGTCCATGGCGGGTGTCGCGGAGTCCACGAATTGAAAATCGGCACGACGCTTCCGCGTTAAGATTTGGTCATGGTCCCCGCTCTCTTCCCCTCCAACGGCGTTGGATGTCTGGGGTCTTGATGCCTCAGGAGGCGTCTTGAGCTCTGCCGCATCTTCCTGGGGCAGCGTCCACTCCGATGCGATCGAGCCGATGTCGGTTCCTGCTGGCCCCGCCCGATCCGATTCCATGTTCCGACGATCCGACGTGGCTCGGTGCTGCACGGCGCTGTCTGCACGTCCTGGCACAGCCGATCTGATATTTCGATTTCTCGTGCCGGTGCGGCCCGATCCGACGCTTGGCATCGCTCGGACGTGTGCATTTTTCCTTCGGCGAGGGCCATCGAGGAGCATCCTTGATCATTTGGCGAAGAAGCCACGCACGAAACCGACAAAAACACAGGGAATGGACGTCCGAGCGATGGCCAGCTCACGTGTTTGCACGTGCCCCAGGCCCCCCCAGAAACGTCTACAGTCGGGGCGCTGACGAAGGAACCCTTTTGGTTGGGGAGGGGCTCCGCGTTCCTCAAGTGTGTCACAGCTTGCCTCAGGTTTTCTTTGTGTTTTCGATCGGAAATCGATGCTTAGCTTCGATTTCTCGTGCTGGTGCGGCCCGATCCGGCGCACAGCGAGCGACCTCGCGCAGCGCGCGCGGCCTTCCCCGGGGGGCCCGCCGCCGCGGCCGGCCGCGGCGGCGGCGAGGCGCTGCCTTCGGTTCAGCAGGGCCTGGCCGCGGCGGGGAAGAGCACGAAGAGCTTCGCGGAGACGCAGCTGAGCGGGTACCAGGACGGGCCGCGCCGCGGCGGCGAGAGTTCTCGGCGTGGTTGGTCGGGGCGCTGTGGGTTCTCCGTCTGCTCCTGTTCCTGCTCCTCCTCCTCCTCCTGCTTGTCCTCCTCCTCCTCCTCCTCCTCCTCCTCCTTGTCCTCCTCCTCCTCCTCCGCCTCCTCCTCTTCCTCCTCCTCCTCCTCCTCCTCCTCCTCCGCCTCCTCCTCCTCAGCCGTTCCTCCCGAGCGGAGGGGCCAGGCCGCCGCGCGCGCGCGGGGCCCCGAGCCCCCCTCGGGTCCCGTCGGCAAACTTGGGAGCGGCAATGCCGACGGGGAACCGCCAGACATAGACCGCGGCAGAGAGCAGGCTGGAGGGCAGCAGGTACACGGAGGGCTCCTCAACGGCGTGGGGAGAAGGAGGGGATCGTGCGCCGCCCCAGCGACAAGGGGGGCCAGCAGACGCGACGCGTCGTGGCAACTCGCCGCCCCACGGCCAGAGCTTCGCTGGAAGCCCATTCCGGTTTTGCGCATCATCTGCCACGGGCCCGCGGCCACCGGCGCAGGTGCGCCCCAGTGTGTGTTGCGGGGGGATGAACAGTGCAACGTCAATCTCTCTCTCGGGCTGGGGGGGCACCGAGGTATCGCCACAGCGTTCGGGCTCCCACTTATCCCATACCGTCTGCAAGATCATGGCGCTGTACATGTTGAAGGCCATCGTGCACTACGGCTGGCCACATTCCTTCTTGTGCGATTGCATCCTGAGCTCTTTGTTTGGTCATGGGAGTGGTAAGTCCTCCCGTTCCTTAGGGTTGGTGCTGAACCCGAAAAGAACAACAGAGTTTTGCGAAAAGCACCAGGAGGAGGTTTGGGGTGAACCGAGAAACCCCTGTTTCGGAGTGGGCGTTTGGCCCGCTGTATCTCGAGTTCGCGTCAGTGGCCAAAGGCCGCTGGGATGGAGCGTCCAAACGAGATGTTTCAGCACCCTTATGTCTACCGCGGAGCGGGGATAATAAGAGAGTGCGCTCCCCCTTGAGGGCCCCTTTCAAGAAAGGCCCCTCTCGCAGACAGAAAATAGCCCAGGAAATAGTCCTCCTCCTCTCCTCCTCCGACTCCTCCTTGTCCTCCTCCTCCTCCTCCTCCTCCTCCTCCTCCTTGTCCTCCTTGTCCTCCTCCGCCTCCGCCTCCTCCTCCTCCTCCTCCTCCTCCTCCGCCTCCTCCTCCTCCTCCTCCTCCTCCGCCTCCTCCTCCCCTCTGTCCTTCCCCTCCTCGCGAGCGGGCGCGGAGCAGCACTTCGAACCATCGAAATCGCCGCCGCGCCCTGCCCTTGGGAAGCGCCCGTGCGGCCAGACGTTGCGGCCAGAGCTCGGCCAGGCCAGCGGACTATATGTTCCCGCAGCCGTTGTGGAAGCACTTCCGGGGAACCCGTAGGGGAGAGAGGAAGCACAAAGAGTAAGAAGGAGGAGGAGGAGGAGGAGGAGGAGGAGGAGGAAAAGGAAAAGGAGGAGGAGGGGGAGGGGTATGAGGAGGAGGAGGCGGCCTCTTTGGAGCCTCTTGGGGCACTCTTGGATCCTGGGGGATTCCTGGAGGCCTCTTTGGGGCTTCCTTAGGCCTCTTGGGAGCCTTTGATGCTCCTTGGGAAGCTCTTTGGTCGTCTGAGGGCGTTCCTGGCCCGTGTGACGCCGTCGGAAGTCGTCTTGGGGGCATCTCTGGGCCGACTTGGGGCCCTCTCGGGGCATTCCAAACCGTCAAAGATGCCATCCTGGCCGTCCCGGAGGTCTCCTGAGCCGCCTTGGGGCTCTCTTTTCATTGGGGTCGTCTTGGGGGCCTCCTGGAGCGTCAGAGGGCCGTCTCTCGGAGGATGGGCGCTCTTAGGGCCATCTTGGTGGCCTCTTGGACCGCCTTCGCCTTGTGGAAAGCCGAAAATGAAAAAAATTCAAAAGCCTTCAAAGGCCGAAATCATGTCACTGATGTTGGCATCTTCGGGCCTTCCCTGGAGGTCCTCTTGGAGGCCTCTTGGGCTGTCCCGGATGCTCGAGGTCATTGCGGGACTTCCTGGGTCCATCTTGCAGCCATGCACCGTGGCATGCAGATTCTGCCCCGATGCACGTGCAAGAGGTTCCGAGGGAAAGGCGGCACACACACACACACACGCACACACACACACATATACACATACACACACATACATACACATACACACATACACACATACACACACATTCACACCCATTCACACACATTCACACACACACACACATTCACACACACACATTCACACACATTCACACACACACACATTCACACACATTCGCACACATTCACACACATTCACACACATTCACACACATTCACACACATTCACACACAACACACACACACACACACCCACACCCACCCACACACACACACACCCACACACACACACACATCCAGGCAGTGTCGGCCCCCGTGCCTGTCCAGCGGTCGGCTCCGACCAGACTTTCGAAATGAGGGCGGTCCCAGAGTCCCCCCAAACAGGCGAAGAGCGTCCTGATCGTTGTCGTCGTCATCCTCGTCGCCCCCGAGAGTCAAAAAGTCGCATTCGCCGAGATGCCCGAGAACGCCGCGCAGCCCGTCAAGGAACTGGTGAAGGACGTGCCGCTCGTCGTGGAAGGCGGCCGCGCCCGCCGCCCGGTGGAGGCCCCGGAGCTCGGGCGGCCTCCTCCATTTCCTCCTCCTCCTCCTCCAGTTCCTCCTCCTCCTCCTCCTCTCCTCCTCCTCCTCCTCCTCCTCCTCCTCCTCCTCCTCCTCCTCCTCCTCCTCCTCCTCCCCCTCCCCCTCCCCCCCTCCCCCTCCCCCTCCCCTCTCCTCCTCCACCTCCTCCTCTCCTCCTCCTCTCGTCCACCCTCCTCCACCCTCCACCTCCTCTCCTCCTCCTCCTCCTCCTCCTCCTCCTCCTCCTCCTCCTCTCCCCTCCCCTCCCCCTCCCCCTCCTCCTCCTCCTCCTCCTCCACCTCCTCCTCCTCCAGCTCCCGCCGGCGTCCTTCTTCTGTCCGCGTCCCCCAACCTGGGCCAGCGTGCCGGCGGCGGTCTGCCTCGTGCTTCCCGCTGCACGGATGTGGTTGCCGATGCCAGCACGGCCCCGTCCGGGGCCGCAGCTCCCGCGGCAAACGGCGCAGCAGGCTGCCGCGAAAACGTGCCAGGCACAGCCATGAGCTGCAGGAAATCCGACGTCATCCGCCCGACCACCTGTCTGCGCACTCCAGGTACCGAGCGGTGAGGAGGAGGAGGAGGAGGAGGAGGAGGAGGAGGAGGAGGAGGAGGAGGAGGAGAAGGAAGGAGGAGGAGGAGAGAGGAGGAGGAGGAGGAGGAGGAGGAGGAGGAGGAGGAGGAGGAGGAGGAAGAGGAGGAGGAGGAGGAAGGAGGAGGAGGAGGAGGAGGAGGAGGAGGAGGAGGAAGGGGGGAGGGGGAGGGGGAGGGGGAGGGGGGGGGGAGGGGGAGGGGGGGGAGGGGGAGGAGGAGGGGGAGGAGGAGGGGGAGGAGGAGGAGGAGGAGGAGGAGGAGGAGGACGAGAGAGGAGGAGGAGTAGGAGGAGGAGGAGGAGGAAAACGAGGAGGAGGAAAACGAGGAGGAGGAAAACGAGGAGGAGGAACACGAGGAGGAGGAACACGAGGAGGAGGAGGAGGAGGTGGAGGAGGAGGAGGAGGAGGAGGAGGAGGAGGGGGGGCTACTCAGGCCATCTCAAACATGAATCAAGGGGGCGTTGATTAGCGGCGGTTCTACTTTCCATTGGAAATCGCGAATTTCCGCCGCCGAACGAGGCTGCACCTGCCGCATTTTGGGGTTGGCACCTCCCCCGATCCATGGATTTGGTGACCGCGCTCCAAATCCATGGATCGCTAATGCATGTTTGCGCGCCTCCGAACTGAGGACAATAACGTGACTGCCCGCGAGTTGCGGGAAGCTTTTCTTCTGGCTCGGGAGAAGTTTGAGCACCACCCCACCCAATGCCTCTGGTACGGAGTGGCCTCCAGTCCTATTCACGATATTGTGTTTGGGTGTAATGAGACTGGTTGGGAATTTCTGGACCCCGCCCGTGTCCGCGCGAGAGTGGGTACTATCGCTCCCCCTGTCCAGCTCCAGCACAGCAGCAGCAGCAGTTACATAGGGTGGCGGGCTACAAATTGGCAGAGCTGATCAGATCCGTCTCAGAGGGCTTTGGACTCATCCTGTCAACAGGTCAGCAGGGCCTGGCATTCGTCGAAGCACTCTGCTGAGGATCAGCAGATCCTGCGCCAAGTGCTCACGGGGTGCTACTGCACTGGCACGGCCCTCCCCCGGCGAGGATGCAACGTCCCGCCGCAGCGCCAGCACTGCGGAGCCCCTGACGCCACTTACCACAGGGTATGGGTGTGCCCGTTCGGGGGTGGCCGTCGCCAAGAACTGGACCGTGAGCTCGCTGATGCAGCTCGAGAAGCTGGACCCATGGACCGCCTTTTCCGTTGTCTCTGGATCCCTGTTCCCCCCATTGAAAAGCCCATTGAAAAGCCCACCCCCTTCAGTGAGGACGAGATCGAGTACTCAGACAGAGATGGGGAAACTTGATCAGTTTGTTTTAAACACCCCAGGGGTGGAAATCTCAAGCCGCCCCCCCTTCGTGCGAGGGGTGGTTGGTGTGCTGCTCAAGCCGCAGAGACTGGAGATCTTAAGAGAGCTATCTGGTGCCGCTTGCCATCTTATGTTTCATGGAATGCCAACCTAGCCGAGCACCATGGCCTTCGTCATGCCTGTGTTCACCTACATGTGCCAGTGGATGCCGAGCCAGTCAACTTGTTTCTGAGTTTGCTGCGCTGTGGTGCGTGGAGCACCGACACCAGTTCGATCCAGGAGGCCGATATACATCCGCACGGACATGACGGGTTGGGCGTCACATATTATCAAAGCACATCAAGACCAGACCAGAGGAGACAGGGCGATCGAAGAGCATACGAGGATCCTTGGTAATGGATGGACCGATCTCATTGCCACAGAAATTGCCACATTTCAGGTCTCACACATTGATGTCAAGATTGTTGAATCAGCAGATAAACTCGGGCTGGGCGTTGTTTCTGCTTTTGTTCCCCTCTTGGGACCCCGGGGCCGGGCTCGCGACCTGTTCGGCGAGCTGGACAGGATCCGGAAGGCCATTCGGAGAAAAGATCGGGGCAGAGGGCCGCATGGGCCCCACAGCTTTGTGTGGGGCCCACACGCGCCTAAACATTTGGCAATGCTGATGGGCCTGTTTCCCACCACCTCCACCATCAGTTGGAGGGGGGAAGGAGGTGGAGGAGGAGGAGGAGGTGGAGGAGGAGGAGGAGGAGGAGAAGGAGGAGGAGGAGGCGGAGGCGGAGGCGGAGGAGAAGGAGGGAGAGGAGGAGGAGGAGGAGGAGGAGGAGGAGGAGGAGGAGGAGGAGGAGGAGGAGAGGAGGAGGAGGAGGAGGAGGAGGAGGAGGAGGAGGAGAGGGAGGACCCCCTCCCCCTCCAACCTGTAGTGGTGGTGGTGGTGGAAAACAAGCCCCTCAAATGCGTGGCCCGCGGGCGCTCCGCGATGAGGCCCTGGCGTTGCGGGCGGGGCCCCCGCACGCCCCCTCTGCCAGGTCCCTGGCCTCTGTTCTCCGCCCGCCCGTTCCTGTCGTACCGCCACGTGACCTTTTTCGGGGGCGGAAAAGAGGGGGGTGATGACTAGGGGGGAGGGTGGACATCATGGCGGGGGCCATGCTATTTCCCCAGATCTCATGGTGCTTCTTCTTGTCTCACTGCGTCCCTGGCCCCCCCGCTGGGCCACGCACGTGCCGCCGGTCATGATTTGCACCCCCCCTCTTGGACACCCCCCTCTTGGCCGCTCCCGACTTTTGGGCTGGAAGGATCATACTTCAGGGAAAAATAACATACAGACGCAATGAGTCGTCGATTCCCCAGAGAAAATACGGGAAACTATGGGGAGTGGGGGGGAAGACAAAAACCCAGAACATGTGGGGAAATATGGGGAGTGTGTTTTATTTGTGTGTCTTTGTTTGTGTGTCCCAGGGCCCCTTCAGGATTATGGCCACAGTAGCAGCGGACCTCTTCTGCAATCGTTGTGGGTCGCACACCGCACGGGTGAGGTCAGGCTCTGGTCTCCGTGACAAGTACTTGCCTGAGGTCCTTCATTTTCAACCCCGCGCCAAGTGGGAGAGGGCTCCGATCATGCATTGGTTCGCCTCCATGTGCCCTGCACGTTTAGGAGGAGGAGAAGGAGGAGGAGGAGGAGGAGGAGGAGGAGGATCAGGAAGAGAAGAGGAGGGGGAGGAGGAGGAGGAGGAGGAGGAGGAGGAGGGAGGAGGAGGAGGAGGAGAGGAGGAGGAGGAGGAGGAGGAGGAGGAAGGGGAGGAGGAGGAGGAGGAGGAGGAGGAAGAGGAGGAGGAGGAGGAGGAGGTCGAGGTGGATGAGGAGGGGGAGGAGGAGGAGGAGGAGGAGCAAGGTGGGGGAGGAGGAGGAGGAGGAGGAGGAGGGGGAGAGGAGGAGGAGGAGGAGGAGGAGGAGGAGGAGGAGGAGGGAGGGAGGGAGGGAGGGAGGGAGGGAGGTGGCCGTGAACGTTTGAGGCCACAGCGCAATGGCCACCGAGGGCCCAAGTGGCAAGATTCGCATGCCTGACCGCGCCCATTCTTGTACACCGCCAACGCTTCGTGGCCCCATAGGACTTCCACAGACGGCCCTGAATGGCAGACGCGTGTGTCTAATCACGCCCACTCTGGTACACCCCTCACACTCGTCTTGGCCCAATGTGGGCTCCACAGAAGGCCCAAATGGCAGGATCCGCGTGCGTAATCACGTCCGTTCGACCATACCCCTCACACGTGTATGACAGGGCTCGTATGATCACGCACATCTTGGCACACTCTCTTGGCACCGTAGACGCTCCACAAAAGGCCCAAATGTCAGGTTCGCATGTCCGACAATTCAAATTCCGGCACACAGATCAGACGTCTCGTGGCCCTAGAGGAGCAGAGGAGCTCCATTGAAGGCCCAAATGGCAAACCGTCACACGCTCCGTGGCCCCACATAAGCTTCACAGAGTCCACACGTGGCATGGCTTATATGCCTGACCACACCCATCCTAGCACACACACACACACACACACCACACCGTTCGTGGCCCCACAGGAGCTCCGCAGAAGGCAATTTTTTTTGGATTTGCGTGCTTCACCACCCCGATGTTTGAGCACTTATCACACGTTTCGTGTGCCCATGGGAGCTCCGCAGAAGGCACACATCGCATGGCTCGCATACCTGACCGTGTCCATTCTAGCACACCCTCACGCCTTTCGTGGCCCCATAGGAGCTCCACATAATGCCTAAATGGCAGGATATGTTTGCCTGACCACGCCCATTCTGGCACACCTCTCACGCGCTTCGTGGCCAAGAGGAACTCCTCGGCAGGCTCGATCGGCTGGACTCGCATGCTTGACCACGCCTGTTCTGGCACACCCATCACACGCTTCTGGGCTCAATAAGAGGTTCACAGAAAAACCAAATCCCAGGATTCGCGTGCCTGAGCGCGCCCATTCTGGCCCACCTCCTACCGCTTCGCGGCCTCATATGAGGGTCCTGAACGGCAGGACTCGTATGCCTGACCACGCCCATTCTAGCACATCCCTCACACGCTCGGTGGCCCAATATTGGCTCCACAGAAGGCCCCAATGGCAGGATACGCATGCCTGACCGCGGCAATTCTTGCGCACTGATCTAGGGGTCTCCAAAGAAGGCCCCGGAAGCAGCGTTCGCATGCGGGCTCGGGTCCAATGAGGCACACCACCCCTGTCACGTTCTGTGGTCCCACAGGAAGCTCCACCGAAGGCCCCAGCGGCAGCGCCCACATGCGTGACCACGCCCAGTCTGGCACGCCCCGTATACGTTTCGTGGCCCCGTTGGTGTTCCACAGAAGCTGCCAGGGGCAGTGCCCGCGTGCTGACTCGGAAGAATTGCGGCACACCTCTACCGCATTTCGGGGTCCATAGGAAGCCCCACCGAAGGCCCCCGCGGCAGCGCCCGCATGCGGACCCGGTCCCATTTCGGTACATATTTCTCACACGGTCCGTGGCCCCAGAGGGAGCCCCACCGAAGACCCCAGTGGCAGCGCCCACCTGTCCATTTTTGTCGCACCCCTAAAGCCTTTCCGAGCCTCAGGGAGCTCCACCAAAGGCCCTAGTGGCACCGCTCGCGGGACACCCGCGCCCATGTCGGCAGACCCCTCGCACGCGTCGTGGCCCCACGAGGCGCTCCACCGAAGGCCCCAGTGGCAGCTCCCGCCTGGCTCGAATTGCATCCCTTTTGTGGCGCGCTGCCTTTCAGGACAAGCTATTTCGTATGCCACTCGCAGTTTGATCGCCCGTCTACGTCGCGTGATCTGCCTTTCGGTACTCGCAGCTGCACATGGTGGGTTCCTTCGTCAGGCTAAACTTTGATAATGCGCGGCTTGAGTTCGCACGAATTGTTTTGAGTGCTCATCCCGACCCCGAGCGCGCCGCGTTGTTGTACACTGGCCTGGTCGCAAGCCCTCCGAGGAACAGGGGGACTATGCGTTTTTTTTTGTACACGATAGAATTTACAGATGTTTGTTTTAAGATCTGTTAAAGAAGATTTCGCAGATCGTTTGAGTAGATGTATTATCCATGCGCGCATTTGACGAATCAATTCGCTCAGTCACATTTATTGCCGCACGGAGACGCGATCGCGAGAGGATGTCGGAAGCCGCGGGGACACTGTTGTTGGGTAATCGAAGGCCCCCACGGCTAGTCGCCGCGCCCCCCCTCCCGTGCCATCGCGGAAGCGCATAGCAGCTGCAGTGATCGCTGCGAAGCTCGTTGACGCCCTGGTGTCTCAGGGGTGGGTTTCTTGTGGAGGGTTTCTCGTGGTCGCCCTCCTGGTTGCTGTCATCCCTCTCTCTTTCTGGCCCCCCTCTTCGGCGCACCCTGCATTTCTGGATCCCCCAGGTGCCGGGAAACCAAGTATTCGAGTTGGTTGGATCTCGGGTTTGCCGACGGTCTCGGCGTCCGTTCTGGCGGGCCAGTTTTCGCAAGACGATTTCAGGGGTGGCCCCGTGATTTTTTCCGACGGGCCCGTCGGGCAACCGCCGAGTTCCCAGAACTCGCGTCCCACATCTCCCCGATCCTGGGCCGTGTCGGAGCTCTTTGGAATCACGTTTGGCCATTACTTGGAGCCGTCATTGGACCTTTTTGTGCTATCTCTGGGCGCTCATGGGCCGTGAAAGGCCCATCGCGATTCCTGATACCTGAGTTCGCCAGGCTGGCGCGCACCCGAAGTCGTACCAGTTAGTTGTTCGTGGAAAGCGTGATCCGTGACGGGTTGCACGCTGATGGAACCCGTTACGTTGGGTCGTTTGCCGATGCACGTTGGAAGGAAGCGATGTGGTATATCATTATGGCAAGAATGTCGTAAACGACAGGTCCGTCACCGTTTTTGTGGTGGGTGACGGCGTCCTCAGCCGTTGGGTAGAAGCGGCCGCGGGCGACAGCGGTATGAGGCAGCGACAGGGACCCCGTCACAGGTTGCACGCCGGTGCAGCCCGTCACGTCGCCGTTCAGCCGATAAGGTCGGACTTGGGTCGGCTTGGCATCGCTCGGACGTGTGCATTTTTTCCTTCGGCGAGGACCATCGAGGAGCATCCTTGATCATTTGGCGAAAAAACCACGCACGGAACCGAAAAAAACAGGAAGTGGACGTCCGAGCGATGGCCAGTCGGGGGTTGGGTCGGCGATGCGCCCTTCGCCCAAAGCGGCGGCGCGAGGGCGCGAAGATACCAGCGCATCGCGGGGCGCGATGCGCGAAGTTGGGTGGCCTACAGTCAACGCGCATAGTATGGACAAACGACTTTTTCAAGGGTACCCTTGGGTCCTTGCCTGCCTCAGCCTCTGCGGCCCGTCCCTAGCAATTTTCGTAGGCCAGTTTCTCAGGTTCCCTGGGGGTTTGGCCGCCTGCCGCCCAGAATACTTCAACTTCGGCCTCCAAGGGTCTTGCGTCCTTACCACGCGCCCTTACTATACGTTTTCACTGTACGAGGATCGGTTGCACGTAAGAGGGACCCTGCGCCCCAGAGTGACCTCTGGTGCGGGCCCACAGGGGTCCCGCCAGCGCCGGCCAGCGCGCCTGGGGTTGCGTGGGTTTTCCCCCTCCCCCGCGGCCCCCCAGCGCTGCGCACCAAAGGTCACTCCTGGCCTGATGAGGGTCGCTCCTGCGTGCAGCCGAGAGGACTCGAGGGCTCGAAATTGCTTCGTGGTTTGGGGGATGTCAGAGCGAGGCGCGAGTCCCTCGGCCTGCTCCGGTGGGGCGGCGCGAACGCGCGAAGACAGTCGCGCTGCGCGGAGCGCGAAGCGCGAAGACAGTTTTCGATAGCAAATCATGGAAGCCTTTTGTACCCCCTTAATTTTGTCCCTTGCGTCGATTAGCGTCGGTTAGCGTCTGGGAGTGGATGAGACGGTGCCGGTTTAGCGTCGGTCAGCGTCGATTAGCGTCGATTCAGCGTCGTTTTGGCGTCGATTGGCGTCGATGAGCGTCGATTCGCAAGAGCCGACGAGGTGGTATGGGAGGATCCCATGAGTTGCCACCGAAAGAGTTGCGCCTGGAGAAGCTATCGTGGGTAGACAAAACCCCCACCCTGACACGTCGATTCGTGAATTGTCCGTTTCCGGTCCTCGAGAGGGCGCCGCGGCCGTCTTCTTCCAGGCAAGCGTCCGCCAGGTTTGGGCCCGAGGTCCTTTTCTCGAAACCACGTCTTACTAAAGGGGGTTCTGTCCATCCCCGACGCTGAACCAGCACCGTCTCATCCACCCCCAGACGCTGGTCGACGTTGATCGGCGCACAAGGCGGACTTCAGAGGGTCGCGAAAAGGCTCCCATGAGTTGCCACCGAAAGAGTTGCGCCCGGAGGAGCTCTGCATGGCGCGATTCTGGCTTGCCTTTGAGCGCCAGAGACCGATTCGGTTGCCGGCGCACCTGTGAATCCCACCGCGCGTGCTTCTTTGCCTCCTGCTCCTCGTCCGCCTCCTCTCGTCTCCCGTCTGCGCGGTCAGAGCGGCCCGCCCGAAGTCCTCCCCCGCACGCCTCGCGGGGTCCGAGCGCGCCCAGTGTTCCTCGCTGCGCCCACGGGCGGTCGAGTGACGGCCACGGGCGAGCGGCGGCGGCGGCGGGCGGCGCCCTGCCCGCCCGCGCGCACGGACAGGCGTCGGCTCCGCCCTCGAGTTCGCGGCCGAGAGGGCGCCGGCGGCCGAGAGCTTCCTCGAGCGCCCCCTCTCGGTGGGCCGTCGTCTCCTCGAGGGAGGAGGAACCACCCCAGCCCTCGGAACCTCGGAGGAGGACGTGTACCGAGTACATACATACACACACACACAGACAGACAGACAGACAGACAGACAGACAGACAGACAGACAGACAGACAGACAGACAGACAGACGTACGAACGTACATACATATATACATACATATATACATCTATACATACATATATACATACATACATACGTACGTACATACATACATACATGCATACATACACATACACCTACACATTTACATACATACATACATACATACATACATACATACATACAAACAAACATACACACATACATACACATATACATATATACATACATACATACATACATACATACATACATACATACATACACACATACATACATGCATGCATGCATGCATACATACATACGTCCATACATACACATACATACATACATGCATACATACATACATCCATACATACATATACATATACATATACATATACATACATACATACATACATGCATGCATACATACATACATATACACACATACATATATATATATATATATACATACATACATACATACATACATACATACATACATACATACATACATACATACATACATACATGCATACACACATACATACATATATACATATATGCATACATACATACATGCATACATACATACATACAGACATATAATACTTGAACTACGAGCGATAGATACATACAAGACTGCATTGGCGCTTCGCGCCATGCACTTTGGTCCTTGAGGCTTGGCACGCAGGCAGGAGCTGCCCCCGACAGGTCGTCGTGTCTCGAGGGAGGGAAATCCACTCCGGCCCTCACGCTCTGGGAGGGGGAAATGGACCAAGTATATAATATAAACAAATGCGCCAGGCCCCCTCCCGGGGGCGTCCTCCACCTCGCTCAATTCTCGTTTACGCTCCCGGTACCGCGCTTCCCGGCCTCCCGGGGAGCCCCCAAAATGCCCAAGGACAGCCCAGGACGACCCCAAGAAGCCCCCAGAACGTCAAAGAAAGGCCCAAGACGCTCCCAAGCAACCCAGGATAGCTTTCGGCGACTCTCCAGGCTCCCAGGAGGCCTCCAAGAGAGCTCCGAGAGGCCTCCCGACAGCGCCAGGAGAACCTAACATCTTTTTTCATTTAAGAAAAAGAAAAAACAAGTGTTTGACCCTCTCACCATGTCATGCGTCCAACGCTCCAAGACGGCCGAAGAGGCCCCCAAGACCGCCCAAGAGGCCCCTAAGACGGCCCAAGACGGGCCAAGATGGTCCCAAGACTGTCGAAGAGGCGTCCTGGACAGCTCTGCATCACCCCAGAACAGACCCAAGATGAGCCTAAGAACGGGGGCAGGAGGCCGCCAGAGACCTCCGAGAGGTCTCCGGGACCCCCCAGAGGCCTCCAACACACCCCAGACCGTTGAGAGGTTCCTAGTAAAGCTCCGACGAGGCCTCCAAAACAGCCCAAAGGAGCTTCGAAAACTGTCCCGAGAGAGCCCGAAGAGGGTAAAACCGTTGATTTTCAGTGGTTTGTGTTGACAGAGATTCCTCTTTTTTTTCGAATTCAACGAATACGCGCCCCCTCCTCCCAGGGGTCCCACACCTTCCCAGAACGTCTGCGGAACGCTCGCGGTACCGCGCTTCCAGGCCTCCCGGGGAGCCCCCCCAAACGCCTAAGGACAGCCCAGGACGACCCCAAGAAGCCCCCAGAACGTCAAAGAAAGGCCCAAGACGCTCCCAAGAAACTCAGGATAGCTTTCGGGCGGCTCTCCAGGCTCCCAGGAGGCCTCCAAGAGACCTCAAGATAGCTCCGAGAGGCCTCCCGAGAACGCCCGGAGAACCAAAAATCGTTAATTTTCTTTTTTGCTACCAGCAAATCGTTAAGTGTCCATGGTTTTTTCAAGGTCTTTGGCCTTCTCATCATTTCATGTTTCCATCGCTCCAAGACGGCCGAAGAGGCCCTCGAGACCGCCCAAGAGGCCCCCAAGTCGGCCCCAAGACGGACCAAGACGGCCCCAAGACCGCCAAGGAGGCGCCCCGGACAGCTCCAGACCACCCCAGAACAGGCCCAAGATGAGTCCAAGAGCGGGAGCAGGAGGCCGCCAGAGGCCTCCGAGAGGACTCGGGGACCCCCCAGAGGCCTCCAACACACCCCATACCCTTGAGAGGCTCCCAGGAAATCCCTGACGAGGCCCCCAAAACAGCCCAAGAGAGCTTCGAGAGCCGTCCCGAGAGAGCCCGAAGATGGTAAAATCGTTGCTTTCCAATGGTTTTTGTAGACATGTTTCGCCTTCTCACGTTTTCTTGCTTCCAACGCTCCAAGACCGAGGAATTTGGAAAAAAAGGGAATTCCAGATATTCCCTTTTCTTCAAGATGGGGCTCCTACTCCCTGTCCTCCTAGAGCTCCATCAAGACTTCGGGGTCACATGCAAAAATGTTTCGGGGATGCTGTTGAACTCTCTGACGCTGTCTTGGCACTCTCTTGGATCGTCTTCGTGTCCTCTCGGCTGCTGCCCTGAAACCATTGTAGAAATCGAGGTCCCATGATCCCATGAGTTGAAGCAGTGGAAGTTTAGAATTCCTTTTTTGTTCAAAGTCCCCCCTGCTTGTGTTTGCACGAAGACCCCGAGAGGCAGCCAGACCGTGGCCTGCATCCAGAAAACGTCTAACCCACAGCCCAGGCACTACAGCTTGGCAAAAACAAAATCCTACCATTCCGTTTTTTCCCAAGTTCGCCCCCCTGTCGATTCTTGCACAAAAGACCACCATTAAGACCTCAGAAAAGATTCCAGACAGTCTTCGAGGGCCCTAAATCGTTGATTTGTGAGTTTCCACAGTTCCCCTTCTATACGATTCCGAGGCTTGCGCAGGGCGTCCAAGAGAGTCCTTGGATGCAAGAAACGGCAAGGATGATATTCCATGTGTTCGCCCATCAAGCCTAGCTAGAATTTGAGCGCGCGCGAAGCGCGCGCGATGTTTCCAGTGTATTATATATATATATATATATATATATATATAGATTGTCCAATCAGTGCCTGCACTGAAGGGGTCCTAGCAGAAATTGCAAGATTTGGCGAAAGTGTACCGCCGATTTTGGTGGCCGGCTGGGTTCCCGGGCTCTCGGTTCCGGGTTCCCGGGTTATTGGTTATTGGTTTCGAGCCAATTTCGGTGGGTTCGGGCTCCCGGGTTCCAGGGTTCCCGGTCGATCTCCTTATCGTTCTTTTGGTCGATCCCATTGCAAACCATCCGCTGATTGGGGTTCTTCTCTGGTATCATAAATACAAGACTGCATTAGCGCTTCGCGCCATGCGTTTTGGTTCTTGAGGCTTGGCATGCAGGCAGGAGGGCAACAAGGTAAAACGTAACCTTCAGCGATAATCGGTTGTTTCTGACATCGTCGTTGTAATGATGTTATTCGTTATCCTTCCCTCAGATTTTCTTTTCCTCCTCATTCTCGCTCTACCCTGGGAATTCGTCCCCATTTTTTTTGCGGAGGATCATCCTAGGAGAGCCTCTTGTAAGGCTCACGAAGATTCTGAAGGTCTTGTTGGGGCCTTTAGATACCTCCTGGGGGCTTCTGGGGGCTTCCCCAGGCCACCTTGCTTCCAACCGCAGTCTCTCTGAACGACCGGGTCACAATTTGGAATGATTTGGGAGGCGTCTTGGGGCCATCTTGGGCCGTCATGGTACTCTCCTCGGGCCATCTTGGGGCCCTGTTGGGCCGTCTTGGGGCTTTCCCTGGACTGCCTGGAAGCCCTCTCGGTTAAATTTTGGGGCGATTCTTTGGCCTCCTGGGCGGTCTCGGGCGCCCAGAAGTCCGAAGAACAGAGCACTCCCAAAATCGTGCAAAAACCATCGGAAATGATAGTTCTGGCCTCCTGGGCGGTCTCGGGCGCCCAGAAGACCGAAGAACTGAGCATTCCCAAAAGAACGAACAAAAATCATCGGAAACGATAGTTACCTAACAGCTTTTGCTGATAGGTTTCTAGTGGATTCAAAAGAGAGCAGCAGATGACTCCACAAGGGGGTCGGGGCGGGACCCGGGGAGGCTGCCGCCGAAGCCGAAATCGCTTGGGACATCCTCGCAAAATCGCTCTTGGTGCTCCCAGAACTCCATTCCCGGGCCACATTTTGGATGCCCGGAGCCAACCGTAGGCCACTTCGTGCTCTTCGACTTCCCAGAACTCCATTCCCGGGCCACATTTTGGATGCCCGGAGCCAACTGTGGCCACTTCGTGCTCTTCGATTTCCCAGAACTCCATTCCTGGGCCACATGTTGGATGCCCGGAGCCAACTGTAGGCCTCTTCGTGCTCTTCAAGTTCCCCGAACTCCATTCCTGGGCATGATTTTGAATGCCCGGAGCCAACTGTAGGCCACTTCGTGTTCTTCTAGTTCCCAGAACTCCATTCCTGGGCCACATATTGAATGCTGAGGCAGGCTGATGCTGCGGCCGAGGCAGGCTGAGGCTGAGGCAGGCTGAGGCTGAGGCCGAGGCTGAAGGCAGACTGAGGCTGAGGCTGAAGCAGACTGAGGCTGAGGCTGAGGCAGGCTGAGGCTGAGGCTGAAGCAGGCTGATGCTGAGGCAGGCTGAGGCTGAGGCTGAGGCTGATGCAGGCTGAGGCTGAGGCAGGCTGAGGCTGAGGCCGAGGCTGAAGGCAGACTGAGGCTGAGGCTGAAGCAGGCTGAGGCTGAGGCTGAGGCAGGCTGAGGCTGAGGCAGGCTGAGGCTGAGGCTGAGGCAGGCTGAGGCTGAGGCTGTGACTGCGACTGCCGTTGCCGCTGCGAATGTCATCGCGAATGCGACTACAACTGCGAGAACAGCAGAATTCGACAACTGGATTTTCATCTGAATCTTAAGGGGAATGCTTTCAGATATGCTTCTACACATCGCTGTTAGGTTGCTTTGCCGGGATAATTTTTTCTGCGTTTCGAGAGCCTCTTGGGGGTCGTCTTTGGGTCGCCTTCGAGAGTCCCGGTGCCCGGCGCCGCCGCCGGCGCCCAGGAGCTCCAGAGCGCAGGCAGTGGCCGATGGGCCCTCCACAGAGTGTTCTGAGTCAGGAGGGGGGAAAAACACACACACACACACACACACACGCCCACGCCCACGCCCACGCCCACGCCCACGCCCACGCCCACGCCCACGCCCACGCCCACGCCCACGCCCACGCCCACGCCCACGCCCACGCCCACGCCCACGCCACGCCCACGCCCACGCCCACGCCCACGCCCACGCCCCGCGCGACGCGCACGCAACGCACGACGCGCACGCGCACGCACGCGCACGCGCACGCGCACACGCCACTGCACACACCCACACACACACACACACACACACGCACACGCACACGCACACGCACACACGCACACACACACACGCACACACGCGCACGCACACGCAACACGCACACGCACACACGCACACGCACACGCCACGCACACGCGCACACGCGCACACGCACGCACACGCACACGCGCACACGCGCACACGCACACGCACACGCACACGCACACTCACACGCACACGCACACGCACACACGCACACGCGCACACGCACGCACACGCACGCACACACGCACACACGCACACACGCACACACGCACACACGCACACACGCACACACGCACACACGCACACACGCACACACGCACACACGCACACACGCACACACGCACACACGCACACACGCACACACGCACACACGCACACACGCACACGCACACACGCACACGCACACACGCACACACGCACACACGCACACACACGCACACACGCACACACGCACACACACGCACACACGCACGCACACGCACACGCACACGCGCACACGCGCACACACGCACACACGCACACACGCACACACACCCACACACCCACACACGCACACACGCACACACGCACACACACACACACACACACACACGCACGCACGCACACACAGGCACAAAGAGTCGTCGATGCCCCAGAGAATATGGGAAAATGTGGGAAGTGGGGGGGGAGACAAGAACCCAGAAGATGTGAGAAAAGATGGGGGGTCCTGTCACGTGTGCCGATTTATTTGTGTGTCCCAGGTCCCCTTCACTAAGAACCTTCTTTTGCGGTTTCTGCGAAAGGTTCTCGGAACCTTCCTGGCTGGGACTGTTTTTTTTGTGCATCGGGTTTCTGTTCCAAGACCATTGCTTAAGTTCTAAGAACATATTGGGGTTCGAAGAGAATTGCATGGTAGGCCTACAGGAATGGTCCATGGTCAAAGAGTTGCGAGTCGTCGCCGGCGGAAAGAATTTCGAGCACAAGGGCAGCACCGAAACTCGAGGGCTTTCATGTGCCGGGCCCTGGGAGGCACTCGTTCGACACTGTTTCGACATTTTGCCGGGTGATCGTAATTATTTCTGGTTTGTGGTGTTTAAGTACGATGGGAGCAACATAAGGCTACACGTAAGAGTGTTGGAAGCGGTGAATTCACACTATTATTTTTGAAGGAGTTCTTTGCTAAAGGGAACCAGCCTTTTAGTAAAGTGCTGTTGCTTTGTTGCGCGACAACCGCGGCGGCGCGTCCATATTGCCGAGCCACGTCCTGCGCTCGCGCCCTGAATCTTCTGTCTCGGAGCATCTACAACTCATGAAAATATTTCCAATTGTCGCCGCGACCCGATGTAACGCGACCCTGATCATTCGAGCAAGCGCATCGCGGGGTGAACTGGCAGGAGAGACAGGGGCTCCCCGCCCCCCGACGGGGCTCTGGCCCCGAATCACTGCCGCATCCCCAGGGCTTTACTAGGCAGAGCGCGGACTTTCCTAAGCGAGGAAGCGGCTCTACTAAAACGAAGAAGCGGCTTTGCTAAAGCGAGGGAACGGCTTTACTACAGCGAGGAAACGGCTTTAGTAAAGGCGCGCCGCTCGATACATTCCGACAAACGACGTTTCATTCAAGCGAAAAGAGAGTTTCAGTAAAGCGGAGGAATAACTGGGGCAAAATTGCGCGCAGAACTTTCGTTCCTCGCATAAAATCTGGCCGAGGACTCCAGGCGCGAGGGCGGGGCGCAAGTTCGCCCGTGGGCCCGGGCCCCGTCGCCGCCGTCGCCTGCGATGTTCGTCGTCGCCGCCGTCGCCGTTGCCGCCGTCCTCGTCGCCGTCGCCGTCGTCGTCGCCGCGACGCCCGCGCATTCACGTTGTTACCAGCGGCGGGTCGCGCGCAACCGCGCGCGCCACTGCGCTCGCATCTCCGCTCGTCCGACGGAGGCCCAGGCGGACATGTTTTTTTTTGTGCTCACAACTCGTTCAAAGTAATAGTGGAAAAAAATTGGCCTCTGACAGTGACCTTTCTCGAAAGCTGGACCACACACACATTACCAGTGGCGGGCTGGTTGTCGGTCCCAGGACTCTGTGAGGGTCGGGGACGACGTCGGGGTGGTGTGGTGTATAGTCGTTTCCCTTGATTCCCTCGGAAGCAGTGGATAATGTATACATCATGACCCCGCATACACCAGGATCAGCTTTCCGGTGCGCGTTCCAATGCGGGGCCGGAAACCGTAATTAGGCTCCTATCAGAGTCGTGAGTCGTCGCCAGCGAGGTACAGATCGGTTCCACGTAAGAGTGATTTTTTGCCGGAGTGGCCTTTGACATGCCCGACCTATCGCTTGCTGCCCTCGTCGCTGCGGCCAGATTCCCTGTGGAATTGCTGACAGCGCGCGCCCCTCTGGAGAGGTCCGTGGGGCAGCGGTATGTATGGGTGTGTCCCCACGCGTTGCCGCCGCCAGCGTCGTCGCTCTGCGTGCCCACCCGATCATGGAGAAAAAAAACCCTTAGCCCTAATAACACAGTGAAGACATGGCCTCACTGAGGTCCCCGTCTTTTTGCATCAGGGATGATAGATCTGGACGGTTTGGCCCGATGCATCAGCAGAGCAGACCCCCTATCCCTACTCTGGGTTTCTTAATACGCGTGGGGGGTACCGCCCCGACGGGGGTCAATCTCGCCTCGTCGTCGCGCCGCGACGGGGGTCGCCCTGATTTAGGTCCCCTCCCAAAGGGTTAGGGGTCTTTTTGATGAATCATCCGATGTGCTATGTTTCCTTTCGTTGCGGGGTCCCCCCAGAGCTCGCGGCCCTCTCTCCAGGTCGGGCTCTTCTTCATCCTTTGTCGTTTAATGTCAGCCACGCGCAGAGGTGAGCGTCTTAGAACTTAGAAGGCGCGGGCCTTCTCTACAGACGTAAGGCCGGCGCCTTCTAAGAAGCAGCCTCCTTCTAAGAAGCCTTCCCCACTCCCTCCGACCCCGTGTGCGCGCCGCCAATCATGGCTGCCCCAGGGCCCTGCGGAGGCCACAGGGGCCGCAAGCGGCAGGAGCAACAGCTGTCTGGTTCCATCCTCGATCCGCGATCCTCCCCACGGCTTCCGATACACGATCCTTCTCGTCTCTTCGATCCTGGAGGTGGACTGTGTTTTCTCCAGCTCGCTGGAGGTACGGGTCGGCCTTGGCCTCTTTTCAGGGGCAACTGTCCCCCGTCGGAGGGTGCAGATTCGCTCTTTGCGGCCTCTCACCGATCTATCCGCGATGCATCGCCGATTCCAGGTCGTTGTCCCCCCCCCCCTGAGCCAGTCCCTCCTTCTCGTTTCGGGGAGGCGCGAGGATCGAGTTTGCCGGAACTTGGGTTTGCCACCACTCGTTGACGGGCCCGTTTTGAATTTCTGACGGCCCAGTTCTCGCGGGATATTTCTCCTGCGAGAAGCCGAGTCAAATTGCAGAATGGGTCTCGTCATGTTCCTGACGGCCCCGTCAGGCCAACCCGAGTCCCGCAAACCCTAGTCTCACGTATCCCCGATGGTTTCTTTTCTGTCGGCGGCGAGCGAGGGGGGAAGTGAGAAGGGGCGGGCCTTCTCGGAAGGCTCAGAAGTCCCCCGGCCCTCCGAGTGCAGTTTTCGAAGCATCCCCCGAAGGCGCAACGAAACAACTCCTCGGAAGGCGCGGGAGCTTTCGAGGCAAGTCCCGCCGCCTTCTGAGACGGCCCTCTCTCCTCCTCACTTTTCCCGCCCGCCGCCGAATGTGGATCAGGAGGGAAAAAACACACAGGCACAATTATTCGTCGATTCCCCAGAGAATATAGGGAAATATGGGAAGTGGGGGAGACAGAAACCCAGAACATATAGGAAAATTTGGGGAAGCTTTTTATTTGTGTGTATTTATTTGTGTGTCCTGGGGCCCCTTCGGCCGGGACCCCGTGCGCACTGGCGTCCAGCTCGGCGACGGCCGCCGGCGCCGCTCGCCGCGTGGTCGGCGGGCGCCGCGGCCTCCGCCCACGCGGCGGGCGGCGAGGCCGCGGCCGCCGCCGATGCTGCTTATGTGGGGCCCCCGGCCTTGGCATCGCTCGGACGTGTGCATTGTTCCTCCGGCGAGGAGCATCCTTGATCATTGATCATTTGGCGCATCGAGGAGGACCATCGAGGAGCATCGAGGAGCATCGAGGAGCATCGATTTGATCCTTGAATCATTGATCCTTCGGCGAGGACCATCGAGGAGCATCCTCGATGCTTTGGCGAAGAAGCCACGCACGAGACCGAAACAAGCACGGGGAATGGACGCCCGAGCGACGGCGAGGCCCCCGGGCCGCCGCCGCGAGGTACGTGGCCGGCAAGGCCCTGCCCCTCGCGGAGGCCGTGCTGGGCGTGGGCGCCGAGGTCGCCCAGGACGCGTCGAAGGCCCCGCGCGCGCGGCCACCCCCTCGGCGAGCGCCGTGGCCCCGAGGTGGAGGGCCTCGGCGTGCGAGGGTCGGCGTGCGAGGGTCTCGGCGTGCGAGGGGCGACGTGCGAGGGTCGGCGTGCGAGGGTCGGCGGGCGAGGAGGGGCGTGCGAGGGTGTTTCGGGGGATTGACGCTCGAGGATGGGCGTTCGGGCATGGATCGGGGGTGGACAGAACCCCCAACAGTGACACGTCGATTAGTGAATTGTCCGTTTTCGGTTCTCGAGAGGGCGCCGTGGCCGTTATTTTCCAGGCTTGCGCCCGCCAGGTTTGGGCCTCAGGTCGTTTGCACTAAACCACGTTTTACTAAAGGGGGGGGTCTGTCCATCCCCGAATGGACATTCGAGGATGGGCGTTCCAGGATCGGTGATGTTCTCCCGGCCATCCTGTTTTTGTGTTGGGACGTTTGTGTCTCCGTCAGGGGGTGCCAGAATCCATGTTGCGGGGGGTGGCTGCATCCTTCCCATTTCACTTATCATACTCAGTTAAAGGTGCGGTTATGTGGGCATTGCGGGGGTTATCGCTGATCAGCAGCTTCGGTCCTTGGGCAAGCCATGCTCGCCCCACACATACGGGGCGCGAATACCTAGATCGCATAAAGAAGGGGTTGACCCCCAAAGTCCTGAGCAAGGCCGACCAAGCAAGGCGGCAGCGAAGGTCTTCTCTTTAGTGTGGTCATGATCGGTTCTGGCTGCGCCACTGGATCCTCCTCCTCCTCCTCCTCCTCCTCCTCCTCCTCTCCTCCTTCTCCTCCTCCTCATCCTCCTGCTCCTTCTCCTCCTCCTCCTTCTCCTCCTACTCCTCCTGATCTTCCCCGTCACGCTTCACCAAGTGTTCCCCGAAGGGTTTCCACAACGTTTGGAGGAACACATGGTCCGATTGCTTGGCAGAGCTCTTGCCACAACGCTCGGACACATGGGCGCTTTCAAACCTCTTGCTCCCCAACGCATTCCCCGAAGGCTCTCCAAACCGACTCGGGGAACAATTGGCCCGATAGCTTGGCCAAGCTCTAGCCCAGCTGTCGGCCACATCAGCGCTTCCACGAGGGCAGGGGGCGGCGATGATTCGCAGTAGGCGTCTTCGATACTTGCATTGCCGTGCAGAGTCGCTAGCCAGGGCAGAACCTGATGCCACAGGCGCCCGACACAATCATCGTGAACGCCGTCATTCGTCATCATCGTTGTTGTCATTTGCATTCGTATCAACCTAGGCTCAATACCCTTCAGCTTCGGGATTCCCTACTGGCGTCTTGACAGCGCCGACACCGCCTGTGCGATTTTCCAAGGCGTCATGGCGGGGAGGGCTGCGCTCGTCACCATGGGGCTCTACTCCGGCGCCCACGGGCAGGACGTCGGCGGCAAGAGCCTCGTGCACGACCCGAGCTTCATCGAGCGCCTCAATTCGGTGCCGGGCACCACCTGGGTTGCGGGGCCCAGCGACGTCTTTAGCGGCCTGACCTTTGACGATGCCCGGCCGATGCTTGGCACCGCCCTGTACCCCGATGATCCGCACCCTCCTCTCGAGGACAGCGCGTACGCCGCGATCCAGGACTCCAGGGTGTACAAAAGCGACCTGACCCCCATATCGGGCGCTTCCTAAAAACAGAATTGCGCGTTTACTAAACAGTCCTCTTGCCTCTTGCCCTACTCGGTTCGTTCTTCGGGTGCGTTGACTATTAGAGTGTTTCGTGTTGTGTAAAGGGTGCTCATTATACAGTCGAAACCGATGGTACGGATGCAACTTTCCAAACGGTACCCTTGCGTCCGTGCCTCTTTGGTCCACCCTTGACTACTTTCGATGGCCCAGCGCGCTCGAAACAAATATAACACCGGCGTCCAAGGGGCTGGCATCCTCATCTCGCGTCGCGCATCCTTACTTTCAGTTTTGACGATAAGTGTTGTGTGTTCTGCCCTCCTGAGGACGGGGACATGCCCGAGGCCTTTGACGCCACGACCCACTGGAGCGGATTGCTGCACCCGATCCGCAACCAGATGCAGTGCGGGAGCTCAGTCACGCGCAGAGGGGGGCAGGGGGAGGGGGAACGGTTTCTTAGAAGCATCCTTTCTTCTTATAAAGCGCAGGCTTTGGCTATACATGAAGGGCCGGCGCCTTCTAAGAATCAGCCTCCTTCTAAGAAGCCTTCCTCCCCCTACCCCCTTGTGCGCGCCGCCTAGGAGCTGCTGGGCCTTCTCCGCCTCAGAGGTGCTCAGCGACCGCTTCGCCATCGCGACCAACAAGAGCTCGCCGGTGCTCTCGCCCGAGGACATGGTCAGCTGCGACTCCTCGGACATGGGATGCTCGGGCGGCATCTTGAACAAGGCATGGAGCTACCTGACCACCACGGGCATCGTGACCGACTCCTGCTTCCCCTACGGAGCGGGCAGCGGCAAGGCTCCAGCGTGCGAGAAGAAGTGCGCAGACTCCGAGAGTTGGACCAAGTACAGGGCGAGAAAGGCCTACACGATCATCGGCCCCGCCAACATGCAGAAGGAGATCATGACGAATGGCCCGATCCAGGCAGGGTGCATTTTGACCCGATCGATCCGATTCGGCAGCATCGGTTTCGTCCGACGCGATCCGATTCGTCCCCGATATTCGGGTTCGGCCGGCCCAATGCTTGCATGGCGTTGTTGTGCATCTGGGCGCAGCCGATTCGCTTCGACTCCCATCCCTGTCCGATGAAGCCCGGTCCGACGCACATTTTGGTCCAATCCGACTTTCCCGAGTCGGTGCCGACTGAGCTCGATTGCCGTCCAGCCGTTGAAAGAAACACCACTTGGGGGGAGGAGGAGGAGGAGGAGGAGGAGGAGGAGGAGGAGGAGGAGGAGGAGGAGGAGGAGGAGGAGGAGGAGGAGGAGGAGGAGGAGGCAGGGGAGGAGCATGAGGAGGAGGAGGAGGCGGAGGCGGAGGCGGAGGCGGAGGCGGAGGCGGAGGCGGAGGCGGAGGAGGAGGAGGAGGAGGAGGAGGAGGGTACTGAGGGTACTGATGATCCGGGGTGGGTCCACACCCCTGGCACACAGGCCGAAAGCAGGAGGCTAGCCTGCTATCCTCCTCTTCCCAATCCGCCGAAAAGTCCTCCCGACGGCGCTGGTCACTCTCCCAAGCAACAAGCGCCTCGGGGGTAGCGAAACCGTGCAAGTTCGCAATCAGTTGGGGTGACAAGGCCGGAAGCTCAGCGATCGCTGAGGTTGGGAGAGGATCACCCTCGGCCGCTACTGGTGCCTCTACAGCTTCGCTGTTAGGACCCGCATCCCAACCAGCACCACCCCCAACAGGCTCAAAGCCAAGCAAAGGACCCCAAACAGCCTTCGTCCCGTCTGTCGGGCCAAACGGGGTGCCCACAGTGGCCATACCCAGGTTATGGCCTGGGAACAAACCACGCTTTAAACGGGACCTCTGGGTCTTATACCCCGAATGGGAGGATCCTTTGCAGTTAGATTGAAGGCCTCCCCGCGCACTCTGATGCGCCGAAGCCCCACAGCACTTACAAAAAATTATGTCATCAAGAGCTGCACCGTCCTCTGCCTGGACCGTGGCCTGGACGATGGAATGGCCTCTAAGCACCCAGGGAACACCAGAAACCTGGAAGAAGTCCCTGGGGGCAGGATGAGGCGGAGGCGGAGGGGAAGGAAGAGCAGAACCCATAGCCCCCATGGCCCTGGGACCCCGCTCAAAAGGCCTCACACCCGCCTCCTGGCAGGCCTCCTGGAGGGCCTGCGAAAACTCATCCTCGAATTCAATATCCGCTGTACCGGCAATGCCGTCAGAATCAGGTTGCTCCAGGGACCCGAAGGCAGCCTGGGCACGTCCATGTCACAAAGCACAGTCTCTGACAATTCGCTTACAACCTGAAACAAACAAGGGCCAGCGCTCAGGAATTGCCCAGAGCTTTGCCCCCTGCTTGGCATATTTGTCTGCCATCCGGTTGCCTCGAATTAGCCAGGTGTCATGATCAGTTGTGCATTCGCCTCGGACTGGTGGGCTTTCACTTTACAGACTGACGCTCGGCGACCTATGCCGGCCCACCATTCAGTCCAGTTGTGGCGCCGAGGGTTATCATGAGATAAAGCTGTGCCCGCATTCTGCGCGCACTCAACAGTGCCTGAGCAGTCGCAGAAGACCTCGAGGGGGTCTTCGGCATTCCATTCAGAGAAGCGGCTAAGCATGCAGAAGGCGTAGTCCTCCCCGTCCCTTGCAACCTGGGCCGGGGCAAACCCTAGAGGAACTACACCATACATTGCTGCAACAAGCTGGCCTGCGGGGTCTATGGCCACAACAGCCCACCCCGCTCGGCTGAGCCCTTCGTGGGCTGCGTTGAAAGCGGACCCGTCCACGAAGACTTTACCCGAGAACCTCCACCCAGGAACCACCCTCACGAAACGCAGCCAATTTTCTTCGGGAGCTTCGTGGCGGGGGAAGGCGCGACTCGGCGACGGCCATAGGCAGCGGGAAAACATTTCGCCGTAATACTCGCTCAGGCCCCTGACAAAAAAAAGCGGCCTGCTGAACATGGGGCGGGCACAGCTCCCGTCTGACCAGGAGCAGCCTGGAACACTCGTAAAATCGATGGAAGAGGGTGCCACGAGCACCACAGTGAGCGCACTGATCATGCAGAGCCTTCCCATGAGAATGCAAACGAGCTTGAGGCCAGTGGCTACCACCGACCAGCGACCTGATAGCCGCGCACATGTGAGCCGTCCACCCCGCTGTGTGCTCCCTGGCAAGCACGGCCGAGACAGGCGCCCAATGGAGAGGCGAGATCCAAGCGCCCTCCATCCGACGAAGGGCCGCCACATCAGAAGCCGCCAATGCCGACTCCCGAGCAAGATTCATGGCGAAAGCAGGGGAGAAACGGCGGAGATCAAAATCACCGTGAAACGGGTCCCGGTAGACCGAAGCACTGGGCAGTGTGGCCCCGATCCTGGCCAGAGAAAGCAGCGCCGCCTGGGCGGGGTCCACGACCTGGGACCAGGGCCGGGGACGAAGGAGGATACCCTGGGCCGACCCCAGACAGGCCTCCAAAGGCCCCAACCCGGGCAGCGCGGAAACCGCCGAAAGCGCCCAGTGCTTGGCCACCTCAACAGCATGGAGGGGCCCTCGGCACGGAGGGATGGAACACGGAGCGAGTGGAGCTTGTGCTCCGAGATGCCAGTGACAGCTGACCCCCAGACCGCCGTCGCCGTAGGAGACCCCCGCATGATCGTGCTGACACTGGCACCTGCCCCGCGCAACTGCGCGACACGCTGCGAGACCCTCGCCGCTTTCGCAAAGCGCTTGTCCTGCTCCAAGACAGAGCGAGAGGCCCCGCTATTCGCGTCCGTGCCTAGAACACAAGCATCGAAGCAGCGCCACTGGGAACCCCGTGAGGAGCGCCTCCTGGAAGAGGTCTGCGTGCGAGATATGCTCGTAATACTTGGACAGGTCCAAGGAGGAGGAGGAGGAGGAGGAGGAGGAGGAGGACGAGGACGAGGACGAGGACGAGGACGAGGACGAGGACGAGGACGAGGA